CTTTCTCTATTAGTCATCTGATTGTCCTCGAACTTTTTTTTATTGGTCGTTGGTAAGTTTCTAAGAAATACCTGCTTTTATTAAAAATCAGAATATATTCTTAGGCCAGAGATGAACTTTAATTCAGTAGGACCTTAAGATATGGTCGTTTCTTACTCCTTGATGATAATTTATGATGACGATGATGATGTATAATGATAGTGAATGAATAGCATGTACATTGCAACCTGTAGCATTCCATTGCAAAGCACATCAATGTTCTCTTCTATACGTAAAAGAAAATTAACTAGTACTTGCTAAAAACAATAACAAGTGAGACTTTAGACACACTGAATTGTATGTCTCAGTACTCCAGTATAAGTATAGGTGTAGTCTGTAATGAGAAGACTATGAATCTGGACTGGGCATGTCGAGATATCCCAGTAACGTACTAGGCTGTGATGAACCACTGTCTGTCACCCCATTGACCCTACTGGTATAATTCCTTTATCAGTGGTCAGTGCTCTATTTATCTCCTTATCAGATCATGGTAGAACCAGGAAAAGTGGCGAACTGGTGAGCTGAGCTCAAATGAGATGGTCTCCTAATGAGTTCAAATGTGAAATTCTTTCCTAATGCCTATATCATTTCCTTATAGGTAAAGAACAGTTTTGGAAACGCCCCTCTCTCAAAAATGAAATGGAAGCTCTCATTATATACCAGTCATGTGAAAGAATATGTTTTGAATAATACGTGATGATACAAATTTTGCCGGGAAACCGCCTACTAATTGATATATTTGGTAAATTATTATATCTATTGGGACCAAATAGATATCGCGCACTGGTCGCGTAGTCCCATATACATCTTTCTGTGTTCAGTGCTTGTAACTTTACCAAGACTGGGCCACATTTCTTATCATGTTGATGATTCCAGAACCTTGCAGTACACACCAATACTTATATGCTAGATGATCAACCTTTTCTGATCGATTTCACAACGTTTCTTTCACAATGCAATCGCATGACCAGAACTGGTCTTTATCTTTAACGTCCACATGACTGACGCACCTGTGTATTCCCCAGTTGGAATAGTCTATATCTCCAAGTCCAAACGTTTTCTCAATTTAATAATGAAACGCTAACGCAACCGACATGCTATGCCTGCGTATTCATGTGATCCCCAGTTCGAATGTGAAATTTTCTCTTAGTCCATTTATACACATTATGTCCTCTATTTATAAGTAACATGTTCACACGATCGATACACCTGTGTATTCTTTGGAGCCCCAGTTGGAATGTGAAATTCTCTCCTAGTCCATGCATACACATTTCCCCTATTTATCGGTAAAACGTTCACACGACCGACACACCTGTGTATTCTTTGTGGCCCCAATTGGGATGTATAGTACTCTCTTCAAAATAAATCCCCTTATCAAACTTTCGGTTCACTTTATGAATGGAGGCAATAAATGAAGTATAAATAACAACGAGTCATTGTTGTCAGGGCGTTTATTATAATGTCCCCATTTTACGGTATAAAACACCTGTCCCCGATTTCCACCCAATGTAAGTATGCGTGTGTGTGTGTGTGTGTGCGTGTGTGTGTGTGTGCGTGCGTGCGCGCGTATGACGTTATTTTAGAATTTTGTTACTTTGGTATTATTAAAAGCTTTTATTTATGTTTTGTTTATATTATGCTTTATGTCGCTTTTATTTTAATATTGTAGTGTAAGGACCCCAAGGAAGAACGGTAGTATTCTATAAACATTGCTGAATTGGGCTTTCCACCGATTTTTGTTTGTCTATGTACATGTATTAATATTTCATTTTGTATATTTTACTATGTATAATATTTGTATCTGATTTCGGAAATATAAACAACAACAACAACAAGCATGTGCAATGCATTAATGCAGATAGTAGTTGCCTACATTACTGTATTACCTATGTCTATGTGCAATGTTCGCTGAGCTAAGACCAAACTAGATTTTCAGGCTTATAATTTGACATTTAATAATTAAGGATGAATCAATGTTTCAACTATCCTCTTTGCCTCTAGATTTGACTTTATAGAAATCCCCATAATTCAGGATGCTCTGGATACAAGGAAGTTTGGTATAAAAAAACAATATTCAGTCAAGATGTTTTTCTTTTCACTTCAGATGGCCACTTGACTGCGTTATCATAATTCGGAACTTAAGGTTTCAGTACTTTACATGTACATGTCAATCATAAATTTAACCTTTGACTTTAAGGGAAATATATGACCTTCACATATGAAATTCTTCATGATTTTTTCATTCAAGTTATAAAAGGATAAATAGGCACATTTCAAACAACTTTCATTACAGATAATAATAATAACAATAATAGTAATAATAATAATAATATAGAGTATTTGTAATGCGCCAACTCTACATGATTAATGTGTTCGAGGCGCATGGAGAAGAAAAACACAAAAATACACACAAAAATGAACAACAACAATGTGAAAGTAAATCTGAATCTGCTGTAAAGCCGCTTTGAACAAATGAGTTTTGAGGGCATGTTTAAAGCAATCTACACTTGAAATATAACGAATTTGTCGTGGCAATGGATTCCATAGGTGAGGTACAGCGTGTGCAAATAACCGAAACCCCATGATCCTTAGTTTTTGGAACAACAATCAATTGAGAATCGGATGATCTTAAGCGTCTGGGAGGATTATAAGGCATTAACAAATTAGTAGAAGTAATAATGACAATAACAATATTAATAATAATTGTAGTAGTAGTAGTAGTAGTAGCAGAAGTAGTAGTAGTAGAAGTAGTAGAAGTAGAAGTATTATTATTATTATTATTATTATTATTAGAAGTAGTACCTATACAAGTTGTAATAGTCGTGGAAATGGTCATATTATACAAATATACACTGCCTTGAGAGGTTCTGGTTAAAACTATGTGCAAGAGGTGACTCCAATAGTACTATTTGCTGAGGGGCACAGCCCCGAAGCAAATGGTACTTTTGGAGTCACCGAGGTCCATAGTTTAACCAGTACCTCGAATAGAAGGCATGGTATATTTGTTTTATATCCTGCATCAAAAATTTATTTAAAAAAATAAAATTAAAAAAAACATTTTTTGGAAATTTTTTTTTTAGAACAAATACAAAATTAATTTAATTTAATTTTTATCTTAAAAGATTTAAAATATTTTGTTTTCATTGAATTAAGATTTGAAGAAAAAAAATGGATTCAATTTAAAAAAAAATTCACACTTTTTTTGCAACTCCCAAATAGTAAACCCAAATAGTACTCTCATATAGTACTTTCTAAAAATAGATCAAATATTTCTAGTCATGTGACGAGCTCTCAACCAATCAAAAGCCAACACATTTTTGATGCAGGATATAATATTTTATAGACGTATGTAGAAGTATTGTTATTATTATTCATGAAAGGGGAACAAATGTAGTCCACTGATTCTAGGCACTGAGAGTCTTTTTTTGTTTGTTTTTTTGTTAAATGAATTTATTGATAAATATATGCTTTTGAAGAAATCAAACAATCATACATAATCAATTGAAATAACATCGTAACATCTTAACATAGTTCAAATAAAACATGCTTCGTTTTCTTGAATAACAGTGTTTTCAAAAATGCATAGCTTTTTTGTTTTACAGTTCTTTTCGATCTTTAGTCGGTTGTGGATTAGTCTTTTGAAAAAACAAAGAATAGAGATTTCATGAAACATGAGTTTGCGATTTTCTGCTTGCATAAATGTTCAATAAACTGCGTATTTTGCATATATGATAAGAAAATTTAAACTTTTAAATATTTTGTTTTTCAAGTTACAACCTTCAATTAAAACGAACTTGTCAAAAGAAAAATTAACATTGTAAAGTTTTCGAATTATGTCTCCAAATTTTAACCAAAACAATCTTGTGTGCTTGCAGTTTACAAATAAATGGAGATTGTCGTGTAACTGATCATCATATAAACATAAGGGATTGTTACACAATTTCCATTTGAATAAATTATATGTGTTTGGTAATAAGTTGTGTAATAACTTAAAATTGAATTCTGATATTTTGTTTTCTTTCATAGCTTGTAAATTAAATGACCATATGACTTTCCAGTCGATTTGTTCTGTACTATTTAACATTTCTTCCCATTTCTCTTCGATTGGAGGTCTAACAATTGAATGAATAGAGAACGTAGAGTAAAAAAAAACTTCGACTTTCGTTTAGTGTTAACATTCATTATAACATTTTTCATGACACCTTCATTTTCTTCTCGTGTCGCATCATATACATGTACCTGTCTTAACATATTCTGTTTCCAAACTTTAGGAATTGCATTTACTATGATATAATATTCTTGAAACAAAGAAGCATTTTTTTTTCTCAAATCTTTCTTCAATTTCTCTCAAAGACATAAATCTAGAGTATTTTACGACATCATTAATTTTCAAAAGGCCTACATCGAACCATTTTTTAATAAATAATACATTTTTGTTATGATCTCTTATATTTGAGTTAAACCATATGTTTTCACTTCTAACATTAGTACATTGTAAATCAATTGGCGTCTTACATTCTACTATCTCTTTAAAGTCAAACCAAGTATATACCATATTCTTGTAATATTGGAGCATTTTTATATTCTTTAAACAAAACTTCATATCGTCTTTTGTACATTTACTATTTAACACATATTGTAATTTGCCCACTTTTTTAAAGAAACCATCAATTACCTTTTTCCACTTTGAGTATTCATAGGAGAAGTAGTGCAATATCCACGTTAATATAAAACTTTGTAACAGAACATTTAAATCAACCATTTTTAATCCTCCATACTCATAACTCATACAAACCACTTTTCTTTTTATTTTATGTTTTTTCCATTCCACAAAAATGTATACAGTAAAGAATCAATGAGTTTCCGGCATGGAAATCATTTGAGCATTGTATATAATTTGAGAAACAAGAAATGATTTCTTTTTCAAGATGGATTCAACATTCTTTCTTTTGTCTAACAAGTTCCCAGTGCCTTTGGTCTGGATGTTCGTCTAATTGGAGGACCTGACAGCTACAGTGGTCGAGTAGAGGTTCGTCATGATGGTGTCTGGGGTACTGTCTGTGATGACGGGTGGGATATTCAAGATGCAACAGTCGTCTGTAGAATGCTTGGCTTTGAGTACGCATCGATGTCCACTGGTTATGCATCATATGGCGAAGGCTCAGACAGCATCTTCCTGGATAATGTCCACTGCAGTGGATTGGAGACCGATCTAGGAGAGTGCAGTCACAATGGGTTTGAAGTTCACAATTGTCAACATAACGAGGATGCGGGCGTTGTGTGTTCTAGAAACGGTATACCAATCATTTTCATTTAACAATAGGGACTTTTAGATTGAGTGGACGAGAACACGACGAACGCCGACTGATCATGCGTGTCAACGTACTTAACTGCCCATGTTGACTACAATTAGATATCTTTTAGATTGCACTCGAAGATATACATGCATGCAGGAAGTAACACTATGAACATCACGGACAAAGAAAGAGAACAAAATATACAGTTCCTCATTCAACCAGGCGCATACACAGGGGGGGGGGGGGGGGGAGTTTGGGGGTTTAACCTCCCCCCTTTGGATATTTTTATGTGTGTAAACCCCCGCCCCCATAACCCCCCTAACCCCCCCCCCCCCCCCCGCCCCCTCGGATTTTTTGTTTTGATTTGTTTTTATTAAAAAAAAAAAAAAAATATTCCCATGGCTGACCTAAAAAAGGTGACCTTACCCCCCCCCCCCAAAAAAGTGTCCTATTACCCCCCCCCCCCCCCCCGCATTCAGCGGTCGGCTGAGTCGTTGCGGTTTTTTTTCGTTCCGAATTATAAATGTTAACCCCCCCCCCCCCCCCTTGAAAAAATCCTGCGTACGCGCCTGCATTCAACCCTCAACAAAAGAACATCCCTTCACTGCTATTATGTAAAAATGTGTAGTACAGGTGAATATGCATGTGACACCTGTTCTACATATTCTTACATAATAGCAGGGAAGGGATGTTCCTTTGTCTACCTGAGGAGCTGTATATTTTATGCGCACGCGGCATACTAGTACCTTGAGCATGTAAAGGCGCTATGTAAATATCAATATGTATGTATGTACTAGATTTAGGAAAATCAAGGTCGATGCATTCTCGATCGCCGACTGAGACGACGTAACGCATGCGCAGTGTCTTAAAATGACGTAACACGTTGCAGTCGAAGCTGTCGACGTGCAAATCTAAAAGTCCCTAATAGGGCTACCTGCTCAGACCCCAGTCGAAATTAAACTGTAACGATTAAAGCGTATGGCCACATTTAAAAGATTAAAACAAGCGGCAATTCTGCCAATAAATCATGAAATCATTCCCGACACTGCTACACTTTGGAACGGAAGTTGCATCAAAGAATTAGAATACTTAGCTCGTAGATGCTATTATTGAAGTCAAAACTAAACAAAATCAGACTGTAGCTGAATTTGTCTAACGAGAAGATAAAATCGTTGAGGGCGTGTCATAAACCTACACAACGACTTTTCATGCCTTTTGATAATAACAATAATAATAATAATACTAACATTTATGTTATTTTAATGCTTATGATTTTTAGCGCTGTACAATAATTACCCTGGTATTATCCGACCGGCCCAGTAAGGCGTTCCGGTGCTCTGACACTGGAGGAATTTCTACATAACATGTATGATCTAATCTCTTTTTAGTTATGTAGTTATTGGTGAGCTCTAACCGGCATGTCGAAACCTATTTATATGAACTTGTGCTCTCGAAAATGTGGATACAATACCAATTTTTGGTGAATTGCCGGCTAAGCTCTCAAGGATGGCGAGCTTCTTCACTCATGTAATTTATAGACAAGTCAGAAATCTTAGAGCATATACTGTAGATAAATGAGGTAATGAATGAATCAATAAGTTCACGCAATTTAGCTTTTCCTGCAATAGCTCAAAATTACATTGAAAAGCTTAATACATGTTAATGACAGTTAGTCTAAAACGCCAAAATACCTACAACCCCCGCCCGATTGTTTATGTATTCTTTTATTTAGATCCAGATCTGCAAGTTCGTCTAGTTAGTGGACAAACCGCCTTGGAAGGTCTCGTTGAGGTGTTCTTTAACGGTTCTTGGGGAACGGTTTGCGACGATCTTTGGGACTTGAACGACGCCAGAATAGTATGCAGAATGCTTGGCTTTCAGACCACATTGAGAGCAGTCACGAACGCTGAATACGGTGAAGGTTCTGGAAGCATCATTCTTGATAATGTCAGATGCCTTGGGACAGAAAGCAACCTTGCTGAATGCTCCCACAATGGATATGGGATTAATGATTGTGGACATAGTGAAGACGCTGGTGCTGTCTGCGCTCATGGTGAGATTATACTCATGGAATCCAAACGTTAAAGAGGGGAATTAAAGAATAATCCAAACTTAATAGATATAGCTCCTCTAAAAGAAAGCAGGAAAGCATGCAGACTGGCGAAATCGGACAAAAAGAAGAAAGATATGAATAATTCGTCCTTGTTTTCACGAAGTGACGGTAGTGAGGAAAATCGTAACGCAAAGTGAATGCAATTTTTTTTCACTACCGTCACTTCGTGAAAACAGCGACGAATTGTTCGAAATTGTAATCACTGTACAGGTACCTCAAACTCAACGATTCACTAATATCACTGTGATGTAGTGGCAGACAATTGTTCCCATTCGTTTCAAATCACAAAATGACTAAAATTTCATTTGTCTTCCGAATATATAACTTAAGAGGGTCTTTTCTGTTTAGAGGACATTATGCTATACTTCCCAATGAAGAATACACCATGTCAATGTCACAATCCACTGACCGAATGGATTTGTGTAATATATCATTGCCCCATTCAAAATGACTTTTGACTATTCTAATGTTATTCGACATTAACTATACCCCGCTTCTCACAAAATTATCTTGTCTGCTTATGCTAAAAAGCTTTCAATGATGTCGATGTGTTCGCCTAAAGTCAGTATGATTTAAATTCCATTGTTAAATGGTTCAATTGATATCAAAATACATTAAAAAAAATTCTTCCATAACTAGGCTTTATACTTTTCAATGGTTCAAGTTATAACTAAAGTTCATTCAGCTCACACTGACATGATTTCTGACCTTCCCAAATTCTGTCAAAACTTTTAGCTTTATACCCATTTGCATTTAAAACATATATGATACAAAATTGTGAACTTTTACTAATTTTATCTTCTTTTTGCTCTGAATGCTCGACTATCAGAGAATCCTCCTCTTGAAGTTCGCCTCGCAGATGGCCCAAACTCCAGAGAAGGCAGAGTTGAGGTGCTATACGAAGGCTCCTGGGGTACAATCTGTGATGACTACTGGGATTCGAAGGATGCCAAGGTTGTTTGTAGAATGCTTGGTTTTAACGGGGCATTGAGTGTACCACGTCGAAGCGCCGCCTACGGCCAAGGTTCTGGCCCCATTCTCCTTGATAACGTCGCATGTTTCGGAACAGAAAACAGCTTGGCAGAATGCTCTCATAGAGGCTTTGGAGTTCACGACTGTGGCCATGCAGAAGATGCTGCTGTGCTCTGCTCTATCGGTATTCTGTTTGAATAAATACTTTAAAAAAATATATATATTTAACTAGCAGAGACTAGAGACACAGTGAAGCTTTTGTCTTCGACTCATCAGTTTAAACCGTAAGAATGAACAGAACAAATGTATATGTGCCTATTTATATATAAACCGATTGCTATTCTTTTATTTGTAGTCCCATTGATATGTTTATGTATTTTGAGAACAACAGAGTTATCACTGTTAAACATCATCATAATCATATTAGGACTCCTCAACCCTCCCTCTCTATCCCATGGTGCAACTGCAAGCAGGCGCGTACGCAGGGGGTGGTTTTGGGGTTAACCCCCCCCCCCCCCTCTAGTTTTTTTTAGGTTCCATGACACATGCTCCGCCGACGATTGCTCCGCCGACATTTACTCCGCAAAACGCGACAATTGCTCCGCGACATTTGCTCCTCGACATTTGCTCCGACGTCAAATGCTCCGCCGACAGGTGCTCCGCCGACAGTAGCTCCGCCGACAGTTGCTCCGCCGACAATTGCTCCGCCGACAGATGCTCCGCCGACAATTGCTCCTCCGACAATTGCTCCGCCGACAATTGCTCCGCCGTCAATTGCTCCGCAAAACGCGACAATTGCTCCGCCGACATTTGCTCCGCCGACATTTGCTCCGCCTGAAGCGACACTTGCTCCGCCGACATTTGCTCCGCCGACATTTGCTCCGCCGACATTTGCTCCGCTGTCAATTGCTCCGCCGACAATTGCTCCGCCTGAAGCGACAATTGCTCCGGTGACATATGCTCCGCCGACAATTGCTCCGACGACATTTGCTCCGCCGACAATTGCTCCGCCGACAATTGCTCCGCCGACAATTGCTCCGTCGACAATTGCTCCGCCGACAATTGCTCCGCCTGAAGCGACAATTGCTCCGGTGACATTTGCTCCGCCGACAATTGCTCCGACGACATTTGCTCCGCATGAAGCGACACTTGCTCCGGTGACATTTGCTCCGACGACGTTTGCTCCGCCCAAAAAGTGTCCCATTAAATACAAATGCTACTAGTACTACGACAAATGCTTCGCCGACAATATTTTTTTTTCACGGGTTGTTTTTGTTTCTTTCTTTTTTTCTTCATTTTTTGAATGCATTTCATGACATTATGTAAATGAAATGAAATGAATGAATGTTGATAATGTGGGAGGAAAAAGCAGTTGCCTAAAAGTCATTTCGAATATACTGAAATAACTTTCCATCTATCACTGTACGTCCCACATAATGTACACTAAACACTCATTACATGTCATGGGAAGTTTTTTTTTTTTAAAGTAGAGCAGCAAGCCACATTCCCCAATACGCGCATACCTCCTAGTTAATTTCAAACAGCTCATCAATATGTAAGACCTGAAATTACCTCAATGAAAGAAGACTAATAACATGAGAGGAAAGAAAAGAGCAAAAAAGACAACCGTTTTTTGCTATTCCCCATAATGTTTGATTTAAAAAAATAAAAAATAAAATTATAGCTCCTTACGCAAGTTCTCCGGCGAAAGATAATTACTCCGCTCAAAATCTGTTTCATGTATTACTCATTAGCTGATCCAAAGCTCAAGGCTATATTATCTCTCTCTCTCTCTCTCTTTCTCTCTCTCCCATGCTCCTCCTTTTCCTGTTTACACCGTTTTCTTGTCTTCTTTGCTCTTTTCTTTCCTCTCATGCTATTAGTCTTCTTTCATTTCCATCACTTCTTCTCTGCTCCCCCTCTCGAGTTCTATTTCTCTCGTGAAATTGAAACGTAAAGTAATACAATCATGTAGTACATTCTTGTTTAGAATAATATTTTCAATAATATCCAGTCCATTTTCTAAAGGTTTCTTTCCTTTAGTTAAGTGTATGTAGCTTTAATATATATATGTTAGTGTGCAAAACACTCCGTTTCATTCGAGTACTTTGTTTTCACTAAATAATTTAAGGGACTCACGAAGCCACCGGAAGAAGAGCAATTGGCTTATCATGAAGAACTAACATCAAACTGCAACAAAATGATTTGTATAAATGTGAATAAGCAGAAAGGCTGCCATCTCGTTTTCCCGTCTGAATGGGTTCTCTTCCTTACGTATATAAGTGCCCTTATTTTCTAAACTTTTTTTTTATATTTGTGTGTTTATTAAATTTTCAATCATATAAAAATTACATATTTACAAGTCATTGGTAATAATTAGACAAACAAAAAAACCAATATGTATAACTAACAATAATAAAAGGACAAGAAAGTTATAAAAAAAAAAAATTATAGTAAAAAAAAATACACTGTACACATATAAATCATAGTTTGAACTCCAGTGCATAAAGGGGAGTGAGGGGGCACAGGAATAAAAGTTAAATCAACATGAGTATCATAAGTCAAATCGCCATTTCTTAAAATGCGAAACAAGCTTGTTCCTTTTTTTCGCTGAGAAATATTCAATATCTTTTTGTTTCTTTATAAAACTCTTAAAAAGATCAACACTTGGTAAATCCCCCTTACTTATTTTCTAAACTTCCATGATGACCTATTACATTGTATAATGCTTTACCTAGTAAGATGCATTGATCGAGGTAATTTCAGGTATTACATATTGATGAGCTACTTGAAATTAACTAGGAGGTATGCGCGTATTGGGGAATGTGGCTTGCTGCTCTACTTTTTTTTAAAAACTTCCCACGACATGTAATGAGTGTTTAGTATACATTATATGGGACGTACAGTGATAGATGGAAAGTTATTTCAGTATATTCGAAATGACTTTTAGGTAACTCCTTTTTCCTCCCACTTCATCAACATTCCTTCATTTCATTTCATCTACATTATTTCAAGAAATGCATTCAGAAAATGAAGAAGAAAAAAAGAAACGAAAAAAATAGGTGTAAAGAAAATATTGTCGGCGAAGCATTTGTCGTAGTACTAGTAGCATTTGTAGTTTATGGGACACTTTTGGGGCGGAGCAAATGTCGGCGGAGCAAGTGTCGCTTCAGGCGGAGCAAATGTCGGCGGAGCAAATGTCGGCGGAGCAATTGTCGCGTTTTGCGGAGCAATTAACGGCGGAGCAATTGTCGGCGGAGCAATTGTCGGCGGAGCAATTGTCGGCGGAGCATCTGTCGGCGGAGCAATTGTCGGCGGAGCAACTGTCGACGGAGCAACTGTCGGCGGAGCAACTGTCGGCGGAGCATTTGACGTCGGAGCAAATGTCGCGGAGCAAATGTCGCGGAGCAATTGTCGCGTTTTGCGGAGTAAATGTCGGCGGAGCAATCGTCGGCGGAGCATGTGTCGGGTTACCTTTTTTTATGTGTATGTTTTATGTATGTTATTTCGGACAACCCTCCCCTTTTGAGATTTTTTTTTATAATTTTTTTTAATTATAAAAATTAAAAATTAAATTAAAAAAAAAAAAAAAATTGCCAATAGCTGACCTTAAAAGGGTGACCTTACCCCCCCCCCCCCCCAACTGGACAAAATGTTAAATTTTCAAATTTCGAGACCAAAATAAAAAAAGTGTCCTTTTACCCCCCCCCCCCCCCCCCCCCCCAAAAAAAAAAAAAAAAACAAAACAAAACAAAACAAAACAATTCCCCCCCCCCCCCCCGCAGCGGCTGGCTGAGTCGTTACGATTTTTTTGGGACTGTAAAAAAAAAAAAAAAGTATACGCTTACGCTATACTTTACACTTCCCCATGTGTGTCTCCCACCACGGTTTGCTAATCTATTCAAACGATCTGATTTCCAGAAGGCACCACAAGTGAGCTTTTTGAAGTTCGTCTTGTCGATGGAAGAAGCAAGAATGAAGGAAGGGTTGAGATGTTCTACAACACATCCTGGGTGATATTGTGTGGTGCTGGATGGGGCCGGAGAGAAGCCGACGTGGTCTGTAGAATGCTGGGGTTCACGGATGCTTCAGATGTGCTACATAATGCAGCATTCGGTGAAGGAATCGGAATGGTCTCCCTGGAAGGTATCTCCTGTCTTGGATCAGAGAACAGCCTGCTTGCCTGTACCTTCACATCTTTAGAACCGAACAGCTGTCCAAGCAGTCAGGACGTCGGAGTCATGTGCAAAGGTACAGGTAACTGCAATGTTGTATCGTGGTCCTCGTCAGATCTTACACGATCGCAAAGACTTTCATTAAATCAACTCGTGTTCGGATATTGGCATTCGCAGGATTCTTTCGAAGGGGGGGTTTTAAAATTTGAAAATCACGCTGAAAATTTCGCAACGACTTAGCCAGCCGCTGAATAAGCGGAGGGTGGGGGGGGGGGGGGGGGGGGGGGTGAAGAGCATCCTTTTTTTTTTTTGGGGGGGGGGAGGGTGTTTCAAAATTTGAAAATTAGGTCGGTCGATATTTCGTTTCGTTAGGGGGGGGGGTCAGCTTTTTTGGTCACCCATTACCACAATCTTTTTTATTTTTTTTTAAATTTATTTATTATTATTTTTTAATTAAAACAAAATTTGAGGGGGGGGGGGGGAGGGGGGGCGGGTCGTCCAAAACACACGCATACACAATTTTTTAGGGGGGTTCAACCCCCAACCCCCCCCCCCCTCCCCCTCCCCTGCGTACGCGCCTGGGCGTACGTCATTGTAGTTTCGAAAGATCAATGATAAGGGTAGGTAGATTTTTCGAAAGTCTTTGCGAATGTGTTGTATCCGGACTTCTCTCGGTAGCTACTGAGGTACTGAATGATGAGTAATGTAATCAGGCACGATGGGATTGATTATAGAATATCCAATAATTGACATCCCCACTCCCCCCTCCTCCGAGGGGGGGGGGGGGGAGACTAATTTGCCAATTTCGCCAACATCCCTACATTTGAGATTAAGAAAATAATGTTGTGAATTTGTTAGCGACAAGATCATAAGCACAAGAATAATGTATTAAAATGAAGCTATATATTATTTTTCTTGCAGGAGCTCTGATATCGAATGCCAAATTTGACCCAACAACCACATTGGGACATCCAGAACATGGCTCTCAGTGTCCGACTGTTAATTCAGTGTCTTCCGCTGAAAACAGTCGAACACTCTCACCTGTCTCAATAGTACTTGGAGCAATCTTGGCGGCGTCGTATGCACTGTTCCTGCTGTTAGGCCTCTATGGGTCCCATCGACTTAGAAAGCTGGAAAGGATGACGGTTAATGACTCGAGTGAACAGCCTACTTCAAAGGGAACAGGTTCTCCTGAAGCAGCATCAGCGCACCTGAATCTCACCTCACCTTCTAGGAAGTCCACAGAGACCCTTGGAAAGAAAGCTCCTCGTGAACTGATATACATGAACTTGGAGGTACCAGAGAACACCATTGGAGGAGACCAGGTTTACACAGATCTGTCGTTTAAAAAGGGCAGTGAACAGGAAGGTCCCAGTCGCGAGTATAAAGCTCCCATGAAGCCGCCAGTTGGTCGCAAGCCTAAATCTGGGAGGCTTGGATCTCTAGATAGACCTGACCCCTCACCCTTGACCCAACATGACCCCATATATAATGAATGTTATTGATTATAATAATGAATATTGAAGGAGAGTTAGGAAGACTCAGTATGATCGCAAAGACTTTCGAGAAATCAACCGAAGGCACTCTCCGATACCTTGTCCGTCTGCAAACATTGCAACCATGTATTACGCAATCCTAACACGATTCCCGTGAGATATATATGTATAATAAGGTATTGAAACTGACGTTTCTAGAACACCAACCCCCCTGGACATCCACCCCCGGATAACTACCCCCAGTAAACTACACCCTTAGGACAATTACCCTCTAGGACATGTACCCCCTATGACAACCATCCTCTAGGACAAGCACCCCCCCCCCCAGACAACTGTCCTAGGGATAGTTGACCTGGGGTGGTTATCCTGGTGGATTTCTAGGGGGTAGGTGTCCGGATACGGAAATTATCCTTGAGTTGGTTTCCGAAAGACTTACCGATTATGTTTTCCAGAAATTATAGCCGGACCCGTTACAAAAGACTCTGTCGCGGGACAATTTCCACGCAGAATCGGGATACAATACGAATCCCCAAAATGGCTTGGATTTCAAACAAGGTTTCCCGAGAGGAACTCGTTTCTTTATAGGATTAATATGATTTTCCACCGAGGTTTACTTCTGTCCAGGAACAGAGCCAGGTGACAAGGGAAAGTATCTACCTAAAATATTACCTCTTCCTTCTCGGTACATAGCCGTAATAACAAAACATGGTCTTGATAAGGACTAGATGATAATACCTATTATCATGTCGACTAGAAAAAGAAAATAATGTGGATAATTCCTATTTCGAACTAGTCCAGAATATGGCCGGTTCTTTATTCCCTACACGTGATTCGACCCGCCGAAGATGGCATTATCAACGAACTCGTTCGTTCACCAGCCCCAGGCACAGAACTGTAAAATCCGTATTTTACAGTTCTGTGGCACTATGGCCCAGCCAGTGCCATTGATTAGGAGAGTTTGGCCAACCCGGTTCGAGTTGGACACAATATGGCGACTACTGCTTTGTTGGGCAAGCACAAAACAAAATAATATACGACATGTTGTGACCCAGTAAAACCAGGTTGGCCAAACTATTTGTATAACGCCATCTTCGGCTGGCAATATGGGGGAGGTGGCATTGCGCTGTATGGTGTGGTGGAGATCAAAATTAATTCGGCCAGATTCTGGACTACTTTCAAACATGGCTACATAATTATGCTCTCTAGATCATCTATACTGTTCATAGTGTTAGTCCTCCGGCATCTTGCAATATCCCCATCCCCTCTGACCATCCAGGGTACCGTTTTTTTCATCATAGAGATGTATTCTAACTGAGGTATAGACCAGTTTTGGAAACGCCCCCCTCTCAAAAAAAAAATTGAAGCTCTTATTACCAATCATGTGAAAGAATATGTTTTGACTAATACGTGATGATACACACTTTGCAGGGAAAGCCGCCTACTAATTGATATATTTGGTAATTTAGTATATCTATCCGGACCATATAGATATCGCGCACGTGTCGCGTAGTCCCATACACATCTTTCTGCACAGTGATTGTAACTTTACCAAGACTGGGCCAAATTTCTTATCATTTTGATGATTCCTTGCAGTACACACCAATACTTATATGTGTGCTAGATTATCAACCTTTTCTGATCGATTCCACAACGTTTCTTTCACAATCGCATGACCAGAACTGGTCTTTACCTTTAACGCCATCATATATCACTTCATATAATATTAGGAGTGCATTGTAAAAGGAAATTATGTTTTTGCATAAAACGTTGCTTAATTGACTTTAAACATATTGTATATATTGTAGGTAAGTTTTCACAACATTCAATTTCATCAGTTCTTTGTAGTCGCAAAATTTTGGTTAATGGTAAAATTTAAAAGTGTGCACGCGATGTGAGCGGGTGGGGGGGGGGTTAAAGAAAATAAATGTTTAAAGTGACTCGGTAACATTGTTGAAAGTTTATTTAAAAAAATTGCTTAATTTTTGTATCATGATAAAATGTTACTTACTATATTCCTCTTACTGTACTAACCCTCTGACATGCAAACAATCCTGAAAAAAATCTCAAACCACGAAGATATCTATGGATTTCTTAGAAGGCGTCAATGTATGACACCCTCTAACAGTGATTAACAGTAAATTCTCCCAACCATTTTTGAATTTTCCCAACCGTTTTTCTATGAAAGAGAGACATACAACAGGCTATACAAAATCTGTCAACACTTAAATGTCTGGAGTGGAATGTAGTGCCATTTTATTGCTTTGTGGCGATTTACATTCACCTAAAATGTAATTAAATTGTAGTTGGGAGAATTAAGAAATCGATTAGATCAGTATTTCCCAATTTGTACCATGAATTATGGTCCGTTTTCACTCAAATTTTCAGATTCTCTTTAATTGTACATCTAGCATTGAAGTCACTACCTTAGCACTATATCTCTCATCTGAACAATGTTACCTAGTCCCTTTCAACAGATTGACATGATATGGTAATTATGATCACGCACAGTCATGTATAAAGCACAATATTCTCCTCTTTAAGTACATGTGTATAATGCTATACGTAAATGTTTGTATCTTGTAAAAAAATATGATACATGGAAGCTACATTTAAAGAATTGTTTCTACAGTATTGATAACAAAAACGTGATAGTCTATGTTAGCCTAAACTTTGTTTCATTTGTAACCTGATTATCATATAGGCTGGGAATTGTTTTAATTTTTGCACATAGTATGAGATGATGTTTTTGCATAAAAATTGTTTAATTGACTTTAAACATAATGTATATATTGTAGGCCGTTTTCACAACGTTCAATTTCATCAGTTATTTGTAGTCGCAACATTTTTAGTTAAAGGTACTCTGTCCCTTTTGCAGCCAACCTCAAATTCTGTAGAACGTTGCAATTATGAATATGTCATGTATGTCCTATCTGTGAAATTTAAATGTTAGCAGTGTCCTAATATTCAAATTATGCAAGGAAGCCTGTTTACTTGCTAGACTTCACTGTCAGACACTATTGAGTGACTGACTGACTGGCTTTATTCTTCTTTGATAATAACATACATAAAACGAGCTGTAAAGGGTACATGAGCATTTGTCTACATCAATAACCCACTTCTTGTGATGGCCAAAATTAAACTGATTGAATCTTTGCGCAACATAAAACGTATGACCATTCAGTACAATGGTCAAAAAATCAAGACTATTACTTTTATTGGCTCTGTAGATTCCTAAGTCGATGTGACAACTAATAGTCGTTATTTTCCCATTTGAAGACATTTTCACGCCCCACCATTTTTAAGGAAGTTCTAAATTAGTATTATCTTTCAAATGCCGTTGGAATTTAACCTTTTCATTTTTTTTTTTGGCCTGCGATGGGACATAGTACCTTTAATACTAGGATTTAAAAACGTGCACAATGTGAGCGGGTGGGGAGGTTAAAAAAAAAATATTTAAAAAGATATTGACACGATAAATATGATCACACACAGGCATGTACAAAGCACAATATCATTTCTTTCAGTATAAGGTGGAGTGAGTGTTAGGCAAGTACGTTGGTAAGAGTAGGTGAAAGTGGTTTAAGTTGGGATAAGTGAGGTTGGGGGTGGTGGGTGGATTAAGAAGGCGCGTGTGCGTATGAGGTTTAAGGGTATGGGAAAGGGTGTTCGGCATGTATGAATGTAGCAACGCAACCACGGGTGTGAGTTATGTGTGTGAAATGTGGGCGAGGGAGGGGGCATGTGGATGGGTGAGAATGAGGTACTGTGGGAGACTGTGAACGAGGGAAATGGATTGGTGTGAGTGTGCTTTGAGTCTACTTTAGGGTAGATTAATGAAGAAAAAAATATATTCCAAAACTTCCCTTCTCTGATCTGCCCTCCCCCCTCTCTCTCTCTCTCTCTCTCTCTCTCTCTCTTTCTCTTTATCTTTCTATCTCTTTGTATATCTTTGTATTTCGATCATCCCCTTTAATAAGACTTACATAGTTTCAAATAAAAAAAACACAAACACTATTCGTTTGTAAAAGATTATACTGCATTTAGATGTGTAAAGGTGTAGAGGTGTCGTGGTCGAGTGGATAAGTTGCTAGACTGTCGATCAGAAGGTCCGCGGTTCGAGTTCCGCCGCCGCACTAATGTCCTTTGGCAAGACATTGATCTACCTTTGCCACACTCCACCCAGGTGAAGCAAATGGGTACCTGGTAGGAATTTTATTCCTTGAAATTGAAATGCTAGAGCGCCGTATGGCAGCCGTGCTAAAGCCGGGGTAATAATCGGGAGCGCTATACAAGAACCCATTATTATTTATTTATTATTTCACGTGCTTTTCAAGGAAAAAGTAAACTATATTTGCAAGTATGCAAGGTTGATATGAACATTTCTTGAGAAACTTAAAGACTTTTATGATGTATAACATATCTTTAGATGTATGTAGTACGATCCTATTGTCCCCCTTTTTTTCTTTCTCTTTTCTCTTTACTTCATTTTTCCTTTTAATAATAATAATAAGACTTTCATAAAATGCCCCTTAAAAAACACAATCTGTGTTGCAAGAGATTAACCTCCCCTTCTCATGTCTTCTCACCCCTATAAAAAAAAACACATACACGCTTTCCCATCCTCTCACAATATATTTCCACGATATGCGAGTATCGCTATTATAAAAACCTCCATTGATAATATAGGTGGCGTGCGGAATGTTTAGGAAATTGAATTCCTGTTAACTTTTCTTTTCTTTGAATGGAAATTTATATGTGATTCAATTGTTCAGGTTTTTATTATTGTTATGTTCTTTTGAGGTGAAAATACAAACCATCTTTACAACTTTACTGCTTTTTTTTTGGGGGGGGAATGCGTTTTGCACCCCCCCCCCCCCCCCCCAACTTCCGGCGCCTATGTATATATATATATATATATATATCATATATATGGATACATCATGATTGAACGGCCATCTTGGACGCCATCTTGGATTTCCAGGTGTCCTGATGGCCATGACCCATTTAAGTAGTATAAATGGATTCTTCGAACTCCCAGAAACAAGGAATATACACCAAAATCCCATCTCTTAGATGGATGGTTCGCGATTGATGGCTCTTGTTAAGGTATTGGCGGCCATCTTTGACGTCATTTTGAAAATAACAAATTTTACGGGTCCGACTTTATTAGATTTATAGTATGTTGTTCATGATGTCAAACAATACCGAAAAACCGTTGTAAAGCCTTGTGTTGCAATCTTTGGTCAATACCCTAATATATTGACACGAGTACTTGTTGTTGTCAATCTGCTATGACCTATGGCTCTGTGTTTTAATTGTTAAGCGAGTCTGTATGTGCAGACTACAATGCAATGATATAGCATCTTTCTTCATATTTCGTTTTAGAGTGTCGAGCATGCGCAGTATTATTCCCTCGATGTGTATCTTAAATAGTTTGACTTTTTGATAATTTCCTATTCCTCTAGATTATTATAACGCGTTGGACTCGATTGAGGAACTAAAGACTGAAATATATTTCGTCCATTCTTGCCTTCACATGCTTGCTTTGATGGGCTGATAAACATCGAACTCGACCTTTCGGTGGATGTCTTATGATCTTTCTTTTTTTAATCAGTCATTCGGCATATGTTCTGATCTGAATTTTGATGAGGATGAGGATGAAGGCCTTGATGTTTTATCCCGTGGTGATCATAATCGCCCTGAGCATGAGAGGTAAGTCTTAATGAGAGTCTTGGTAATGGAATTATGTCAGCTATCGATCCAAGTGAGCTAATTGGGTTTGATTTTATTTATCATACAGGCAGAGTTTTATTTTATTACAGGAGTTCTATAATCGAAGTCAGATTTAGTAACGAGCAATACAACTACTTTTAACTGTTTTTTTTTAGTTAGACTTGATTCCTCAATATTAGGTATAATGTATAGGTTATAGCCTATTGATTGATTAAAACTATTATCGTTTATCGAATTAACGATCAAAAATAATTTCATTTTATTTCGTTTATTTCCATTTCCTAAAAAATAAATAAAGTACAAGGGATTGCATTGTACATAGTAAAATAATGAAACTTAACAATATATTTGTAATTGGTCCACAGTGTACAACAGGCATATAAATCAGATTGGTCATGGAGGGGACTGTTGAAAAATTGGGCTTGTAGATTGCAGCCCCCCCTTACAAATACAGCCCTCTTAACAAATACTTTTGTTTATCATAGAGGTAAATGTAAATATAAATGAACGTGCGCACATTAAAAAAAATTATGTACACATTTCATGAATGTTTCAGCCCCTAGCAATTTTGCCACATTCTTTCATGATCTCTAAAAGATTGACCTGCATTTAATGCAGACAATGATTTTGATTCGTCTAGAAAAATAGAATTACTCACCTTAATACCATCAGTATTTCGTCCGTTAATACGGTTAGAAGTACACAGCGTAGCTACAGTGTGGAGGTGCCATTTTTAAGGAGAGATTGACCAGGGTATGTGAGTTAAACCAACCAGGTTTGAGTTGGGCACACATATATTGCTTTGTTGGGCAAGCACATACGAATACTGTATTCGCTATCTTGTGACCAACAGGGGCGAGAGAGCTGGCTCACAGTCCAAAATACACCATGACGGTTGCCCAAACGTTTGGTATTCAGAAATATAATATTTAGCTTTTATATAGCGCTTAATACAATGTCTCTAAGCGCCTTACAAATATACTATTACCCCTGTCATTGGATTTAATGTGTGCTGTGTGCACAATCTCCACTCCCTGGGGAGCATTCCAGCCAGGCGTTACTTGACATTCAAAAACTGTTTGACCAATAATGACGGTCACATCCTACCGGGTACCCATTTAACACCTGGGTGGAGAAACTTTCTCGTCCAGAGCCCCTATGCTTTGTACACCCTGAGTATGCCTGGTATGTGGTGTTGAAAGTAATTGTTAAAACCCCAGTTTAGAGTCCCTAAAAGTACATCCATGAGGGTTAGTTTCATTTAGGATATAGCTACTTCCGATTTCGAGTTCTTTGATTTACTCGGATGAATATTCAAGTGCACTTCAAACAAAAAATGTTCAACAAAATTTGCTATAAATCGGAAACACTCACGGTAATATTTCTATAGCCCCTTTAGGGCAAAATTAAATCTTCACTCATGAATGAAAGATAACAATAATTTTCACTGTGTATCGAAAAATACCTTTTCCAATATATTCTTTGATATGTTGATAGCTAGCGCTGGTAATGAAATATGAAAATAATTGAAAAGTAAACTGAACATGTTAACTACTAATATGTACCATTATATTGGTAATAATATTAATGAATAATGATAATAATAATATTGGATATTTATATAGCGCACATATCCAACCTGATATTATACTTGTTTTACTATTAATTTTATTACTAATATTATCATTATCATAATTATTATTTATATTATTATTCTCTCTCTCTCTAAGGGCCATATCGTTTGACGTTGGCGATCATGCTGTTCCACAACCCTCGGCTCCTAGCCTTCTGTATTAGTACCACTCCCAGTTCTTTCACTCCTCTCTCTTCCAACAATTTCTGCAGACTGTCCATCCAAAGTATCCTCCTTTTTCCCCTACTCCTTATTCCCACAATTTTCACAACACTGTCAAAGCAAAATTCTCTAGGCCTTCTTTACGTGTAATGTGACCCATGAACTTCAACTGCCTAATCAACATCTCACGTATCATTTTCCTTTGCACTCCAGCTCGTGTAAGAACTTCCTCATTACTAACTTTGTCAGTCCAGGGGATTTTCATCATTCTTCTTAGAAACCACATTTCGCAACTTTCCAAACGCTTTTTAGTATCAGAGGCTAGAGTCCATGTTTCACTTTCATACATAATTACTGGGTAGATGTAACAATTCAATACCCTTATTCTGGTCCTCATACACATTGTTCGATTTGTCAGAATTTTGCCTAACTTTGAAAATGCAGATTTAGCGAGAGCTATCCTTCTCTTGATCTCTGTCTCGCATCTGGCATCCTCGGTAATCATGCTGCCGAGGTAGTTAAATGAGGAGACTTGTTTAATAGTCTGTTCTTTCAGTTTCAAGTTACATTTTGGACTGCTCTTCTTGGATACCACCAGGCACTTTGTCTTGCAATAGTTGATCTCTATAGTCCCATTCTCTCATTTTCTTTTACAACTACATTCAGGAGTCTCTGGAGATCCTTCTCTGATTCAGAAAATAAAACAGTGTCATCAGCATATCTAATATTTGTGATTCAATGACCACCCACTTGTATCCCATTATTATTATTAATACTAATATTATTCTGATTATCATTATATTCATCGTTATTATTATCATTACTATTATTATTATAATGAGAAGTAGAAGAAGTAGTAGTAGTACAGAGGCGGATCTATTTTTGCTAAGGGGGGGGGGGGGGGTTAACCCAAATACGATATGGAGCATCATTCCACGAGCCGCGCAGTAGCGTAGCGGCGAGGCGTTTTTTTTTTCTTGTTTCCATTTTGAACCCCCGTATTATGTAGTGATGTTTTTCTGGCATTTACTAATACTGTGTGGGTCTGGACCAGTGGCGGATCCAGGGAGCCCCCCCCCCCTGAAAAAAACGTGATTTTTACCTTTTGGGGTTGGTTGCCAACCCCCCCCCCCCTCCCCTAGCGCCCAAGGGGGGGGGGTGCAAATTTTTATTTACCTTGACAGAGCATTCAACCTTACCAGACTGTGCATTTTATCTTTAAACATAATGACTGACTGCTGAACTTTATCCAGTGTTTAAAGGTGTTATATGTCAGTAAATCATACACAAAATGTATTCATATCATCACAGAATCTGGTTCTTATATATGGACTCCGTCTCTGGAGCTTAATAGACCTTATACTAGTGTACTATGTTCCAGTCATTCTACGTTTGCTAATTTGCTGAATACATACACAAACAAGTGCAATGCATTGATGCAGATAGTAATTACCTACATTACTGTATTACCTATGTCTATGCGCTTCTTTCGAGCTTATTTGGCATTTAATGGATCATGAATCAATTTTTCAACTATCCTCTTTGCCTCCAGATTTGACTTTCAAGAAATCCCCATAATTCAGAATGCTCTGGATACAAGGAAGTTTGGTCCTCAAAAACAATATTCAGTCAAGATGTTTTTCTTATCACTTCAGATGGCCACTTGACTGCGTTATCATAATTTAGAACTTAAGGTTTCAGTACTTTGAATGTCCATGTCAATCATAATTTAACCTTTGACTTCAAGGGAAATATATGACCTTCACACATGAAATTGTTCATGATTTGTTCATTCAAGATATAAAAGGTTAAATAGGCACATTTCAAACAACTTAGATAATAATAATGATAGTAATAATAGTAGTAGTAATAAGTAATAATGATACTACTACTAATAATAATAAATGTAGTTGTAGTAGTAGTAGTAGAAGTAGTAGAAGTAGAAGTGGCAGTAGTAGTAATAGTAGAGACTTTTAGATTATGCACGACGAGAACACGGACTGCCCTTTTAAGGCAATGTGACGTCACTGCCAGTGCCTTAAAAGGACGTCACATTTCCTTAAAAGGGCAGTCTACGTTCTCGTCGTGCAGAATCTAAAAGTCCCTAATAGTAGTAGAAGTAGTAATATAAGTAGTAGTAGTAGTAGTAGTAGTAGTAGTAGTAGAAGTAGTAGTAATAGTAGTAGTAGTACCCAATAAACAAAATCACGTGAAAATCACGTCAATATCAAGGTATCGACTTGAGGAGAGTTACGTTCTTCAAGCACCTGACATCAACGTAAATGTGTTAATACGTTTATTGCACTAGGTAACTTAAAACACACGTACACTTATATCACGCAATTGTCACTGCAATATCACCATTATAATAACGTGATTATCCTTACCTTGGAGACCATGGTTTGTAAACCTAATACTCCAGTGTTTGTTTGGTTAAGTGACTCTCACACTCTGCCGTGTAGGCCTACCGTGTGCCACCGTGCGCGAAAATGTCTGCGGACGGTGGAGAACGGCGAGGGCACACGGTGGTTCGTTATCAAAGCGGGCAACACGTTAATAGGGCGTTGGCACTTATTTACACCCGGTGGGACCCGGCGAAAGTTTTGGGCATGTTCAAAACTTTGGCCGGCTGGCACCGGCCGCAAGTAAGCGGCAAGAGGACGCAGTGGCGGATCCAGGGGGGGGGCCCGGGGGCCCGGGCCCCTCCCCTTGAGAAAAAAATTATGTAAAATCACGTGATTTTTACGATTTTTGGGGGTTGGGCCCCCCCCCTGGCGCTCAAGGGGGGGGTGCAAATTGAAATTTTTTTGAGGATCAAAAAAAAAAAAAAATGTGCTCACTACCCCCCCCCCCCCCCCCCCCCCCCCCCCCCCCCCCCCCCCCCCCCCCCCCCCCCCCACTGAGCGAATTTTTGGCAGGCGCGTTTTTCAAATTTTCGGGAGCAAAAAAAAAAAAAAAAAAAAAAAAAAAAAAAAAAATTGTGCTCTGTACCCCCCCCCCCCCCCCCCCCCCCCCCCCCACTGAGCGACTTTTCGGCCGGCGCGATTTTCAAATTTTCGGGAGCAAAAAAAAAAAAATTGGGCCCCCTCCCCTAAGAAATCCTGGATCCGCGCCTGAGAGGACGGTGTTGAACGGTATGAGGACGGTATGAATACGTTATGAAAACGGTCACACCGTATGAACACGTTCACAACACGCTCATAACCCGTTACAGAACGGTGATGAAAAATGGAGAGCGGACTGACCGTTGCCGTTCAAATCGGGGTATTTATGGCAGTCGTGTCATGACGTCAGCAGTCCGGGGACTCGCTCACAGGACGCTCTGAGCGGTGAGGGGAAGCTAAGTGACTGGTAGGTGGCTGCTACAAACCCGGTGCACACGTTCGAGACCCGGTATGGGCCCGGTATGGAAACGGCCAAAATTTTCAACAAAAGTCAATCTGGGCGGTGAAGACGGTAGAAGCACGTTCAACACCCGGTATGCGCCCGGTGAGAACGGTCAGAAGATGGCAACGAAACGGTGAAAAGATTAATTTTATGAATTTTTTTTGCGGCCGGGGACAAGTTCGCTCAAAACCCAACGTTCTGGACTCTGTTTTTTTTTTTTAATAGCCCGGCAGGTGGACGGTAGGCCTACACGGCAGAGTGTGAGAGCTCCATTATGAAATTACATTTTCATAAACGAAATTATCGCGTCACAGAAACACGTGAAGCGTTAGTGATAGTTTTAGTCAAAATATCTGCGTGAAATTCACGTGAATATTACGAGGCTGACTTGAGATGAATCATGTTCTTCATTCACGTGAAATTTACGTCGAAGAGGAAGTATGTTACTGTAACCCGCGTTCAACCCAATAATTACGCAAATGTTACACAATTAATGAACCAAAATAATAATAATCATCCCGTTTCTGAACACCGTGTCTTGGATCTTCCATAATTACGTCCAGGCGCGCCGGTAGCAGTTCGGGGTTAGAGGGGGTTGGGGGAAGGGGGGGGGGGGTGCAAACATCCCAGAAGAGAAAGCTAGTTGCAACTGGTCCAGTTGATGAACCATTTAATGCCAACTGGTAACCCAGGATATTGAAATGGGCTGAATGATCCAGTTGATCCAGGCCAGTTATACTTCAACTGGTCTACTTGAGCCATTAGAACCATTTGGTTATCTTCCAACCAGTTGAACAGCAACAATACTTCAATACTGGTACGTCTGTATTTCCAATGTAAAGGCATTGGTAATAAGTAGACTTACATAATTGAATTAATCGAAAAAATTTCGTATACTTGTACTTTATTGAAATTATTTTAGTTCATAGTTAATGTTTCCCTTATTCATGTTTAACTAAATGTAATTTATACGAAGTAGCGAAATGTCCTAATAACTGGTAATTTATATGTGCAGTATTTTTTAAATGAATTGCATATAACTAAATCATCAGTAATTAAGAAATATGCTGTAAATTCAGATAAATTGTTTAAAAAACATAGATCTGCACGCACCCCATATTCAATATGCAAATGAATTGGTGTCAGCTGGTTCAACTCGAAATATGCCAACACTCAGTCATCAACCGGTGCAACTGGAAATATGCACACTCCAGTTATCAACTGGTGCAATGGAAATATGCTAACAGTCAGTTATCAACTGGTGAACATAGACATATGCCAACAGTCACGGTATTATCACCACGGAACTTAAATGGTAACTGTGAAACCATCAAGACACCCAAGAATAACTCATTTTCACACCTGGAAAACACGGAATACCCAGCTTATATAAATAATCCGTTTGAGTCACGAGATCATCACCGCGAAACTGCTGGCAACGTTGACTACCATTTAAATAGGTGTTTTAAGACACCTAATCATGACTAATTATTCACACCTAAAAGTTACGTAAGCCCAGCTTAGATTAATATTCTGTTTGAGTCACGAGATCATCACCGCGGAACTGCTGGCAACTTTGACTACCATTTAAATAGGTGTTTTAAGACACCTAATAATTACAAATTTTTCACTCCTAAAAGTCACGTATGCCCAGCTTAGATTAATAATCCGTTTGACTCACGAGATCATCACCGCGGAACTTATGGCAACTGTGACTACTATTTAAATAGGTGCTTTAGGACATCTAATCATGACTAATTTTTCACACCTAAAAGTCACGTATGCCCAGCTTAGATTAATATTCCGTTTGAGTCACGAGATCATCACCGCGGAACTGCTGGCAACTTCGACTACCATTTAAATAGGTGTTTTAAGACACCTAATGATTACTACTTTTTCACACCTACATATCACGGATTCACAGCTTAGATTAGTAATAAGCTTGAGCCACGTGATCATAACTAAGAAATTTATGGTAACTTTGAAACCATTTAAAGAGGTGTGTAAGACACCTCCGAATTACTAATTTAATATAACCAGAGATTAACGGACAGAACAATAAGACGATTAGCCGGTGTAAGTAACGTGATTATTACCATCAACCTTGGATAACCTGTGAAACCAATCGTTAAAGGTGCTTACAAGACCAAATAATTACGTATTTATCGCCACCATCGGTTAACGGACAAAAAACTCGTTGCTTGGTCAAGTGGTTATTTGGTCATAAACACTTGATTTACAGAGGTAAGTGGAATCACGTTACTCCAGTCGCGTGATAAACTGGTGGTTTTTAGGTTAGATGAAAACGTGAACAGGAATACCTTTTTCGTTTAAATGAAGGCACGTGTCGATAACGTTTAAATCTAGTTCAAAAGGCCCTATACTTTAAAATCACTTAAAATACACTCCCAAAAGAGGTTACTTTTTAGTGTTCTGTTTATTGGGTAGTAGTAGTAGTAGTACCTATACAAGTTGTAGTAGTCGTGGCAGTGGTCATAGTATACAAATATACACTGCCTTGAGAGGTTCTGGTTAAAACTATGCGCAAGAGGTGACTCCATTAGTACTATTTGCTAAGAGACGCAGCCCCGAAGCAAATGGTACTTTTGGAGTCACCTAGGCCCACAGTTTTACCAGTACCTCGAATAGAAGGCATAGTATATTTGTTTTATATCCTGCATCAAAAAATCGTTTTAAAAAAAATATTAAAAATAACATTTTTGGAGAAAAACAAAAAAATTGTAAATTTTTATCTAAAAAGATTTTTTTTTCTTTCATTTAATTAAGATTTGAAGGAAAAAAAAATTGATTCAATTCAAACGATTTTTTTCAACCCCCAAATAGTGAACACAAATAGTACTCTCATATAGTACTTTCTAAAAATAGGTCAAATATTTCTGGTCACGTGACGAGCTCTCAACCAATCAAAAGCCCACACATTTTGGATGCAGGATATAATATTTAATAGACGTATATAGAAGTATTTCTATTATTATTCATGAAAGGGAATCTATGTACACTGATTCTAGGCATGGAGCATCTTCCTTTATCAAGATGAATTCCATGTTCTTTCTTTTGTTAATCAAGTTCCCTGTGTCTTTGGACTGGATGTTCGTCTAATCGGAGTACCTGACAGCTACAGTGGCTAGCTCATCAGACCCCAATCAAAACGATGAACTATATGCATGTTATAATCAATTAAACTAACGATTAAAGTGCGTGGCCACATTTAAAAGATTAAAACGTTGCAGTTCTGCCAATAAATCATTCCGGACACTGCAACACTTCTGAACGGAAGTTGCATCAATGAAGTAGAATACTTAGCTTTTAGATGATATCGTTGAAGTCGAACCTAAAAACAATAGTAACGGAATTATTGTTCTAACGATAAGACAAAGGCGTTGAGTGCGTGTCATAAAATTACACAACGACTTTCCATGCCTTTTAATGATAATAAGCATAATACTAGTAACATTTATATAAATCTAATGCCTATGTTTCTTAGCGCTGTACTATAATTACCCCGGCATTGCCCGAGCGGCCCAGGTGAGGCGTTCCGGCGCTCTGACACTGGAGGAATTTCTTCCTACCAGGTACCAAATTAGCTTACATCACCGGGGTGGAGAGTGGCAAACTCAGATTAACTTCTTGCCAAAGATTGTTAGTGCAAAAGTGGGACTCGAAACGTTTATTGTTTACTCATTAACAAAGGGGGAGCGATTTGGAACCGAATTATCATTATAGTTAATGTAGTTATTGGCGAGCTCTAACCGGCATGTTGAACATATTCATATACGATTTGTGACAAGGAGGTGTATATCAACATTAAAGATAAAGACCAGTTATGGTCATGCGATTGCATTGTGAAAGAAACGTTGTGGGATCAGATCAGAAAAGGTTGATCATTTAGCATATAAGTATTGGTGTGTACTGCAAGGTTCTGGAATCATCAAAATGATAAGAAATTTGGCCCAGTCTTCGTATAGTTACAAGCACTGTACACAGAAAGATGTATATGAGACTACGCACACGTGCGCGACACGTGCGTTTATCTCTCACACACAAATAGATAAACTAATTTACCAAATACATACCAATTAGTAGGCGGTTTCCCGGCAAATTTTTTATCATTATGTATTAGTCAAAACATATTCTTTCACATGATTGGTAATAAGAGCCTCCATTTCATTTTTTGAAATTGGGGCGTTTCCAATACTGGTCTTTACCTTTAAGTCCACGAAAATATGGATACAAAATCAATTCTTGGCTAATGGCCGTCTAAGCTCTCAAAGATAGCGACCTTCTTCCCTCCTGTAATGTAAGACAAGTCAGAAATCTAAGGTGTGAGTATGTGTGTGTTCTATATTCTGTAGCTTAGTATTTCCATCCCTTGTATATACGGTACATTCTTTTTATTCACGTTGCCATATTGTTAATGTATGCATTTTGTTCACTATAGGGCCCCGCTCACAAGCTTAGCTTCTAAAGGGGTCCTAAAACCATTTTTGTTTATGATGTAATCAAGTTAATATAATGTTGATGAATGTACTATTACCAGCTTCTATTTTATGTAAAACATTACATGTTTTATGTGGTTTTGAATAAAATGAACTTGAACTTGAAATGAAGTAATAGATCAATTAATACATATACGGCATCTAGCAGGAACCTTTTTCCTGCCATGGCACACAATCACATGCTTAATACGTGTTAATTACAGTTAGTCTAATAAGCCTAAATACTTACACTTCCGCCCAATTATTTATGTATTCATTTATTTAGATCCTGATCTTCAAGTTCGTCTAGTTGGTGGACAAACCGCCTTAGAAGGTCGCGTTGAGGTGTTTTTTAACGGTTCTTGGGGAACAGTTTGCGATGATTCCTGGGATTTGAACGACGCCAGAGTTGTATGCAGAATGCTTGGCTTTCAGACAGCAGTGTTGGCATCCACGAATGCTGGATACGGTGAAGGTTCTGGAGGCATCATTCTTGATAATGTCGGATGCTTTGGGACAGAACGCAACCTTGCTGAATGCTCCCACAATGGATACGAGAATCATAATTGTGTACATAGCGAAGACGCTGGTGCTGTCTGCGCTAATGGTGAGATATTATACTGGTACTCATACTGATTATGTAAAATAAAGCAAAGGCAGAGGCAATTTATTCCTGGATCATGTCCACAGCAGTGGACTGGATACTGATCTAGGAGAGTGCAATCACAATGGGTTTAAAGTTCATAATTTTCAACGTAAAGACAATGCGGGCGTTGTGTGCTCTGAAAAAGGGGATACCAATCACCCTCTTCTCGGAAATATGGAGGCAAAATCATTTTTTGGTGCATGGCCGGCTAGGCTCTCAAGGATGACGACCTTCTCCATTCCTGTAATGTATAGACAAGTCAGAAATCTTAGAGCATATACTGTAGATGAATGAGGTAATGAATCAATAAGTTCACGCAATTTAGCCTGCAAGATTTCCTGCAATGGCTCAAAATCACATTGAAATGCTTAATACATGTTAATTACAGTCAGTATAATAGCCTAAATACCTACATCTCCCACCCCACCCCATTATGTATTTATTCTTTTATTTAGATCCTGATCTTCAAGTTCGTCTAGTTGGTGGACAAACCGCCTTAGAAGGTCGCGTTGAGGTGTTTTTTAACGGTTCTTGGGGAACAGTTTGCGATGATTCCTGGGATTTGAACGACGCCAGAGTTGTGTGCAGAATGCTTGGCTTTCAGACAGCAGTGTTGGCATCCACGAATGCTGGATACGGTGAAGGTTCTGGAAGCATCATTCTTGATAATGTCGGATGCCTTGGGACAGAACGCAACCTTGCTGAATGCTCCCACAATGGATACGAGAATCATAATTGTGGACATAGCGAAGACGCTGGTGCTGTCTGCGCTCATGGTGAGATATTATACTTGTACTCATACTGATTATGTAAAATAAAGCGAAGGCAGAGGCAATTTATTCCTGGATCATGTCCACAGCAGTGGACTGGATACTGATCTAGGAGAGTGCAGTCACGATGGGTTGAAAGTTCATAATTTTCCACGTAACGACAATGCGGGCGTTGTGTGCTCTGAAAAAGGGGATACCAATCACCCTCTTTTCGGAAATATGGATGCAAAATCATTTTTTGGTGCATGGCCGGCTAGGCTCTCAAGGATGACGACCTTCTCCATTCCTGTAATATATAGACAAGTCAGAAATCTTAGAGCATATACTGTAGATGAATGAGGTAATGAATCAATAAGTTCACGCAATTTAGCCTGCAAGATTTTCCTGCAATGGCTCAAAATCACATTGAAATGCTTAATACATGTTAATTACAGTCAGTATAATAGCCTAAATACCTACATCTCTCACCTCACCCCCATTATGTATTTATTCTTTTATTCATCATTCATATATGCAAGTTCGTCTAGTTGGTGGACAAACCGCCTCAGAAGGTCGCGTTGAAGTGCTCTTTGGAGGTTCTTGGGGAACAGTTTGTGATGATTTCTGGGACTTGAACGACGTCAAAGTTGTATGCAGAATGCTTGGCTTTCAGATCGCAGTGAGAGCAGTCACGAGCGCTGGATACGGACAAGGTTCTGGAAGCATCATTCTTGATGATGTCGAATGCCTCGGTACAGAACGCAACCTTGCTGAATGCACCCACAATGGATATGCGAGTCATAATTGTGGACATAGCGAAGACGCTGGTGCTGTCTGCGCTAATGGTGAGATTATACTCATGGAATCCAAACGTTATAGAGGGGACGTATTCAAGGAAAATCCAAACTTAATAGATAACTCCCCTAAAAGAAAGCAGGAAAGCCAGAGAGGCATGTAGACTGGTGAAAGTTAGAACGAAATCGGAGAAGAAGAAGGTTATCGGAATCGTTTGAAGTTGTAATCACTGTATGGGTACGTCAAATTGACCGAATCGCTAATGTCACTGTGACGTGTTGCCGGTCAATTTTCACATTTGTTTCAACTCGCAAAATGACTAATACATATTTTTTGTTTTAAGGGTCTTCTTTATTTATAGAGGACCTATAATAATATGCTCTATTTAGAGTAGTTTCCCAAGGGAGAAGGCACCATGTCAACGTAATGATCCACTGACCAAATTGATTTTTAAAATCCCATTCAGTATAGCCTAACTTTCGTCTATTCTAATATAATCCAATACTATACCCCATTTCTCACAGATAATCTTACCTGCTGACGTTAAGATAGCTGTCAATAATAGCGATGTGTTCTCCTAAAGTCAGTATGATTTAAATTCCTTTTATTAATGGTTCGATTGAAATCAAATATATATACATTTTCTTCCATTACTAAAGGGCTATATACTTTTCTAAAAAGGTTACAGCTAAATTTATTCAGCTTACACTAAAATAATTTCTGAGCTTTCAAAATTCTGTCAAGCATTTTTGCCCTATATGCATTCGCACCCATAGCATTTATGATACGAAATTCAACTTCATCTTCTCTTTGATTTGTCGTCCCAATGATAGTCTCTCTGATTGCTAAATATGTTATGTATTTTAAGAACAATAAAGTTATCACTGGTACACGTATTAGTATTAGTATTAGTATTATTATCATCATCATCATCATCGTTATCGTGATCATTGATATCATCATTATTAATGTTGTTGAAATTGTTGTTGTTGCTGTATACGGCACCTTATTTCATTTTACCTTTCAGTATATCTGGTGAGTTTATCACGCTGATAGCCATACCTGAATCAGACAAAACACCAAATGAAAGATGACTTCTTTTTTAAATGTCAATATATTATGTTTCACAATTCCATAACACATTTCCAGAATACTTAGTAACTTGAGGGACATGCTTTACACTTCCCCATGTGTGTGTCTCACGCCACGGTTTGCTAATCTTTTAAAACGATCTGCTTTTCATTAGACACCACGCTTGAGCATTTTGAAGTTCGTCTTGTCGATGGAAGAAGCAGGAATGAAGGACGGGTTGAGATGTTCTACAACACATCCTGGGGAACATTGTGTGGTGTTGGATGGGACTTGAGAGAAGCCGACGTGGTCTGTAGAAAGCTGGGGTTCACGGATGCTTCAGACGTGCTACAAAATGCAGCGTTCGGTGAAGGAATCGGAATGGTCTTTCTGGAAGGTATCTCCTGTCTTGGAACAGAGAACAGCCTGCTTGCCTGTACCTTCACATCTTTTGAAGCGAACAGCTGTCCGCACAGTCAGGATGTTGGAGTCATGTGCAAAGGTACAGGTAACTGCAATGTTGTATTGTGGTCCTCGTCAGATCTTACACGATCGCAAAGACTTTCATTAAATCAACTCGTGTTCGGATATTGGCATTCGCAGGATTCTTTCGAAGGGGGGGGGGGGTTAAAATTTGAAAATCACGCCGAAAATTTCGCAACGACTCAGCCAGCCGCTGAATAAGCGGAGGGTGGGGGGGGGGGGGGGGGGGGGGGGGGGGGGGGGGGGGGGTGAAGAGCATCCTTTTTTTTTGGGGGGGGGGGTGTGTTTCAAAATTTGAAAATTAGGTCGGTCGATAATTCGTTTCGTTAGGGGGGGGGTCAGCTTTTTTGGTCACCCATTACCAAAATCTTTTTTTAAAAATTTTTAAAATTTTTATTATTATTTTTTTAATTAAAACAAAATTTGAGGGGGCGGTCGTCCAAAACACACGCATACACAATTTTTTAGGGGGGGTTCAACCCCCAACCCCAACCCCCCTCCCCCTCCCCTGCGTACGCGCCTGGGCATACGTCATTGTAGTTTCGAAAGATCAATGATAAGGGTAGGTAGATTTTTCGAAAGTCTTTGCGAATGTGTTGTATCCGGACTTCTCTCGGTAGCTACTTAGGTACTGAATGATGAGTAATGTAATCAGGCACGATGGGATTGATTATAGAATATCCAATAATTGACATCCCCACTCCCCCCCTCCTCCGAGGGGGGGGGAGACTAATTTGCCAATTTCGCCAACATCCCTACATTTGAAATTAAGAAAATAATGTTGTGAATTTGTTAGCGACAAGATCATAAGCACAAGAATAATGTATTAAAATGAAGCTATATATTATTTTTCTTGCAGGAGCTCTGATATCGAATGCCAAATTTGACCCAACAACCACATTGGGACATCCAGACCATGGCTCTCAGTGTCCGACTGTTAATTCAGTGTCTTCCGCTGAAAACAGTCGAACACTCTCACCTGTCTCAATAGTACTTGGAGCAATCTTGGCGGCGTCGTATGCACTGTTCCTGCTGTTAGGCCTCTATGGGTCCCATCGACTTAGAAAGCTGGAAAGGATGACGGTTAATGACTCGAGTGAACAGCCTACTTCAAAGGGAACAGGTTCTCCTGAAGCAGCATCAGCGTACCTGAATCTCACCTCACCTTCTAGGAAGTCCACAGAGACCCTTGGAAAGAAAGCTCCTCGTGAACTGATATACATGAACTTGGAGGTACCAGAGAACACCATTGGAGGAGACCAGGTTTACACAGATCTGTCGTTTAAAAAGGGCAGTGAACAGGAAGGTCCCAGTCGCGAGTATAAAGCTCCCATGAAGCCGCCGGTTGGTCGCAAGCCTAAATCTGGGAGGCTTGGATCTCCAGATAGACCTGACCCCTCACCCTTGACCCAACATGACCCCATATATAATGAATGTTACTGATTATAATAATGAATATTGAAGGAGAGTAAGGAAGACTCAGTATGATCGCAAAGACTTTCGAGAAATCAACCGAAGGCGGAATTAGGGAAAGATCAAGGCATGAATAGAAATGCGTGAAAGTCTAAGAATAATACAGGACCATAGTGTAAACGTAGCACAATAGGCATTGTTTGCTATATAGAGGGCCCAAGTAGCTATAAGTATAGTGCAGTGGGGCTTTAAACACATTGTGCTTAGGTGTTGTCAAGTCGCTCTATTTTTGAAGAAAAAAAATCATCGTCTAGTAATGAATTTGTTCCTGAAAGATGTTGTGTTAGGAGAAAAATTCATAATAATTGGTTTTAACATTAATTACGCAAAATCTCGGCTCAGGAAAGCACTACTTCTTAACACATACTATGCAATTTATAAGGTTTGTATGCTCAATCAGTTTAGAAGTAAATCCTTTAATAGTCATAAAAGCGATGTTTATTGTGTTATTTCAATTAGCAATACAGAAACCTAGAAAAAGTAATAAGTAATTATAAAGATGTATTATTCTTAGACTTTCACGCATTTCTATTCATGCCTTGATCTTTCCCTAATTCCGCTTTTGTTTGTGTCCCCTATAATGCATTGTTGTTAAAATGATATCAAGTAATGAAATGCCTCGTATGAAGAAAAGAAAGGGAAAAAAAGAGATTAATGCAGCATCATCGAATATGATCATTCAACTCCCTTTATAGTTTTTGCCAAATATTCATGAGGACACAGTATTGTATAGCCTACCTACTGATATTATTTCAACATGCTGATACTATTCTCATAATGTACGCTGTACTGGAGTTATTATTATTAAATCTAGTATCAACTTTTAGAACAATACATACAGCCCAATTTTGTAATACTGCCTCACTCGGACTTCTCAAGTTAACGATAGTTTTGCTCAGTCATGGAGCTAATATGGACAAAGAAGATAAGGACGGCTACTGATATTATTTCAACATGCTGATATTATTCTCATAATGTACGCGATACTGAAGTTATTTATATATATACATCAATTCGTAGATTAGGCATAATCAGTCGGCCTGTCATTGACGAAAGTTCAATGAGTTTATGTCAGATATGCGTTCAGATATGACACAAATAAGCAGGAGCTTTTTTTGTACTGTAATGTACTGTCTGAATTCAGATGAGAACCTGTTTCAATTGGGGATCATGTATTTAGTTGTATATTCAGGAATCGGAATAAAGACAAGCGTTCATAACTTTATTATTCAATGAATGTTAAAAGGAGAACTTGAAAGCAAACGAACTTCAAACAGAAGAAAATATACTCATATTAAACCATTCTTGTATTTGATACAGTAGGATATAGGCCAGCAGGGAGGAGGGGGGGGGGGGTACATGAATAATTATTCCTATGAGGAATAATTCACTTTTATTTGCTGCTTAGAGAATTCACCTTCTCAGTGTTTATTCTTAGTCACTATACCACTTACCTGCATACACTGAATGTGAAATAATGAATGAACAACAAAAATCAAAAATGCATTACCTAATTAGGCCTAAAAGCGATAAGTGGGATAGAAAAACAAAAGGAAAACCAAAATATCACAGTATACGTATCAAACGCAGGTTCCTTGGTTTTAACCGGGAAAAAAGTTTAGATAGTGTCTTGGTTAATATTGGTATTTGCAATGAGTTAGAAATCTAAACTTTGATTCTTTTATCACTTCTTTGCGAATTTGTCATTCAACCTTATCGTGTTTATTATTAACCTTTTATTTGTCTTATTGGTAACCAGTTTAGTATTTCCAGCTAATCTGTGCGGAATGCAATCAGATCGAGCATCGGTTTCAAACGTGTCTAATGTTACTCTAGACATTCTCTGGTTACATCGTGATGTTAAGCAATACAATTTTAACAGATAATCACAGGGAAGGAATCTACAAGTTAATTCATGCCGCGTGACATTAACAAATATGGATGACATAAATCAAGAGCTTCATGATGCAGCATTGAGGGGTAAAATCAAAAAGGTAAAAAGACTGCTAAGACAAGGTTCTAACATAAACCAGACAGACCAAGATGGAAACACAAGTTTACATAATGCGGTGAAGAAAGACCATAGAACCGTCGCTAAGTATCTCATAAAGAAAGGTGCTGATGTGGAGAAGGCGACTCTAGATGGAAAAACACCCTTACATCTTGCTGCCTCACTCGGACTTCTCAAATCAACGAAAGTTATGCTCAGTCATGGAGCTTGTATGGACGAAAAAGACAATGACGGCTTCTGTGCATTATACAGCGCTGCAAGTAATGGTCATTTTGATGTAGTAAGATACCTTATCAGTCATGGGGCAAAAGTGAATAAGTGCAAAAATGAACGCTGGAATCCTTTATTAATTGCAGCAGGATACGGTTACATCCGTGTGGTGAAATATCTGGTACGTCGAGGAGCTGAGGTAAATACAAATGATGGTAGTGGATTTTCGGCACTCCACAATAGTGCAGCATATGATCATCTGGATGTCATCAAATATCTCATCAGAAAAGGAGCTGATGTAAATAAGGGAACTAATGAGGGTAGGACTGCATTGCACGTTGCTGCTTTCAATGGTAATCTTTATGTCGCCATACATCTCATCAGTAAACGAGCTGAGGTGAATGAAGGAGATAATGACGGTTGGACTGCATTGCAATTTGCTGCTCAGGAGGGTCATCTTGATGTTACCAACTATCTCATCAGTAAAGGAGCTGAGGTCAATAAGGGAAATAATGACGGCATGACTGCATTACAAAGTGCTGCTCTGGAGGGTCATCTTGAAGTCACCAACTATCTCATCAGTCAAGGAGCTGAGGTTAATCAGGGAGATAATTGCGGTTTGACTGCATTACAAATTTCTGCTCAGGAGGGTCATCTTGATATCACCAAATATCTCATCAGTCAAGAAGCTGAGGTGAATAAGGGAAATAATGACGGTAGGACAGCGTTCCAACTTGCTTCTCAGAATAGCCATCTTGATGTTACGAACTATCTCATCAGTCAAGGAGCTGAGGTGAATAAGGGAGATAATTGCGGTCGGACTGCATTACACATTGCTGCTCAGGAGGGTCATCTTGATGTCACCAAATATCTCATCAGTCAAGAAGCTGAGGTGAATAAGGAAAATTATGACGGTAGGACTGCATTACAAATTGCTGCTCAGGAGGGTCATCTTGATGTCACCAAATATCTCATCAGTCAAGAAGCTGAGGTGAATAAGGGAAATAATGACGGTAGGACAGCGTTCCAACTTGCTTCTCAGAATAGCCATCTTGATGTTACCAACTATCTCCTCAGTCGAGGAGCTGAGGTGAATAAGGGAGATAATTGCGGTCGGACTGCATTACACATTGCTGCTCAGGAGGGTCATCTTGATATCACCAAATATCTCATCAGTCAAGAAGCTGAGGTGAATAAGGGAAATAATGACGGCAGGACAGCGTTCCAACTTGCTTCTCAGAATAGCCATCTTGATGTTACCAACTATCTCCTCAGTAAAGGAGCTGAGGTGAATAAGGGAGATAATTGCGGTCGGACTGCATTACACATTGCTGCTCAGGAGGGTCATCTTGATGTCACCAAATATCTCATCAGTCAAGAAGCTGAGGTGAATAAGGAAAATAATGACGGTAGGACTGCATTACAAATTGCTGCTCAGGAGGGTCATCTTGATATCACCAAATATCTCATCAGTCAAGAAGCTGAGGTGAATAAGGGAAATAATGACGGTAGGACAGCGTTCCAACTTGCTGCTCAGGAGGGTCATATTGATGTCACCGAATATCTCATCAGTCAAGGAGCTGAGGTGAATGAGGGAGATAATGTCGGTAGGACTGCACTACACAGTGCTTCCCAGAATGGTCATGTTGATGTCACCAAATATCTCACCAGTCAAGGAGCCGAGGTGAATAAGGGAGATAATGACGGTAGGACAGCGTTCCAACTTGCTGCTCAGGAGGGTCATCTTGATGTCACCAAATATCTGATTAGTGAAGGAGCTGAGGTGAATGAGGGAGATAATGTCGGTAGGACTGCACTACACAGTGCTTCCCAGAATGGTCATGTTGATGTCACCAAATATCTCACCAGTCAAGGAGCCGAGGTGAATAAGGGAGATAATGACGGTAGGACAGCGTTCCAACTTGCTGCTCAGGATGGTCATCTTGGTGTCACAATGTATTTGCTAACGCAAGGAATAAATGTGAATATGAGTGACAGAAACGGCTACACCCCTTTGCACATTGCTGCTATGAAAGGTGACTTCGATATTGTTAAGGTCCTGCTTGAGGAAGGAGCCCTGGTGGATGTACAGGATGCCAATGGACAGAACCCACTGCATCTATCTTCAAAGAAAGGAAGTGCCAGCTCTTCCGACATCTTAGCAAAGCATGTAGAGGTATGTAATTAATCATTCCTCTACAAAGTGAGGAGCCAATATAAATAATACAAAAGCGTCAAATTACGATATAAAAAATAGGTAATATATAAAATAAAGGCAAACATAGTTAAGTGTGGTATATTTCAGAGCTAATTGAAAGTCTACGTAATTATGGACAAGTGCTATATCAAAATGAATACTCCTACATATTCATAATTTGGATGTTATTTCTTCATTTATTAATTATTATTTTTTGTTAAATAGATCACTGGGAATCTCGATCACAGTGATGATGAAGGACTGACTGCCATTCACCTCGCAACTCAAAATGGCCACATACCGGTTGTCGAGTCGCTGGTTTTGCATGGAGCTTCCTTGAACATCCAGTCGCACAATGGAAAGACCTGTCTCCATGAAGCCATCATACTTTCTAATCACAAGGGCAGAAAAGAGCAAACAAAAGGGAGATCCAAACAGGTAAAGATGATTAAAAACTCACCTAGCACGGATCGACAACCGACAACGAAGAAAATCGTGATTATGTTAATACTATGCACTTTTCTTTAGCTGAGGTTTTTAATGTTCACTTGTCCTTGCAAGTGACCGAACAGTCATATCAGAACAGTCATAACTCAATATTCAGAGATAAATTTTGTTGGTAGCATGGTACGAGTTGAATAGGACAAGTGTCAGTCAAGGCTAAATGTTCAAAGCAAAAGCCTTTCTATCCGTTGAGAAAAAGATTGCATAATTACTAGGCCTACATTACGATTCACCGTTATCATGCTTATACGGGATTAAGTTCTTGGTGTAACTGGATAAAACCATTAATCCTTGAGAAAGGTGTTGATTTCGGAGACAAAATTAGAAAGTACTTGTTACACGTCTTTTCCCCGATGCTCCTTCATTTCGACAGAAGATAGTTACCCATTGACGCCCCTTCCTCCATGTATCGACAACCACCCTGTATGGTGGCATACGGTATCTTGAAGCTTCAGTGGACAAACATCTTTAAACAGTTTGTTGACAAAATAATTCACCCTTTTCCATCCTTGTTTTGGGGTAATGAACGAGAGCACGATAATCTGACCGGCAAATAGTATCAATCAAGATAAACGGAGATTCTATCGAAGTTATTAGGCAGATTGTTATGCTGATGGTGTTTTTAGAAGTGTTTCGATGGGAAATAAACGTGTAATTGAATATATTGGCTGCAGTGGTTCCCATATTTGATTGGTCAACTAACACATCGATGGAAAACAATGATGTCTTTAATTACTATCAAACTTTAAAATAATCTGTATATAAACATATATAAATAAACAAACTATCACTTCACATTTCTTTTTGTTTTTGTTGATAACCTCTCTTGATACACCTGGTATTTTGACTCAGATCTCAGAAGACGTCTATCAGCACAAGCTTTCCCCAGAGAAGGCTTTGGTCTCATACCTTCTGGAGCACGGCGCGAAACTGGACATAAGGGACGGTGAAGGCAAACTACCAGTCCACTATGCTACCAATGAAGTTATCCGACAGATGATACTTGCAAGGTAGGGAAATCTTTATTTATGTGCTAGTTCGGAAATAATTATCTGTGCATGTACAGATAAAGGTTATTATACCAAACCGTAAAACCCATCGACACGAATGCTGGATACATGTTCACAAAAGTCAATATTTATTTATACACCGATGGTACATTATATGAGAGGCACACACGAAAGTAAGTCTTCTTTTCAAGAATTAAAACACAATGTATTCATGAAGCACCTCCATCACGTTGGCAGTGATTATTCTAAAATGGCAGAAAGTGGGACATCTCCATGTTTCAAAGATCTGTGGATGTTTGGGGGTCGTTTGTACATGGGCTATATTTGAACTGGTCTATTACAGCATTGGCATACAGGAAAAAAAATAGTTATTCGCTCGCAGACGCTGAAGTTCATTTGAACGTTGTATTTGTTTTATAAAATACTCGTATGCTTACAAAGCTCATGCTCGAATGTGTAATTATCTAACTTTTAGGATGTGTGTGTCAATGAACGCCCTGTAAGAACCGTTCGGTAAACGCAATGCGAACCTTTTGTTTGACAGCAGTAACGTCGCGGCTCGTCCCCTGGACTTGTCGGTCTCATTTGTCTGCCTAAACATTGCCAAACGGCATCACATGCCAAGAATATCATCATTGATATATCTCTTCTTAATTTCGTAAGGAATATTGGACATCAAAGCGCAGAAAAGCATCTTTTTTTAACAATACCCACACTAATTCTTTAGGGTGAGGTTTCATTTCAATGATTTTGTTTTCGTACAATTTAGAAGAGTTAAGAGTCATTTATTCTCTGGGGGAGGGAATTAGAAAGAATCAGTGACTGTTTGCCTAAACATAATACAATTTTACCTCTTTAATTTCAGTCAATCGGATGAACAGAAAGTGACAGATGCGAATATCCTGAAACTATCAAGGCTTTTACCGCCTGATCTGTGGAGCTTTCTATACGTTGCTCTTGGCATCGATTACAGCATCGCTGAAGGTATCAGAGAGAGGTCTAGAGAGATTCCTGAACAGTATATAAAGCTCTTTCAAAAATGGAAAACTGCATCAACTCGGACTAGAAAGGATTTAAATGCGATCCTCAACCAGGCAGAAGCAGGAGGACTTGTAAACAAGTACTTGGATTAGATGTAAATAACATAAATAAATAGAGTAAGAGAGAAAGAGAAGGAGTGAGGGAGGGGGAGGCAAAGTGAAAAATAATATAATACATCCCTGACAACACCTTCTCCTTTAATAATCGGTGACCCCCTGTTGTGTTATATAAATCATATGCTGTACTATTAACACCATTAATAAATGGACAACTGTCAGCAGAAATACAATATTATCCAAGTAATGATGCAAGTTTCGCTTCTGAATGACAGTTTTAATTAGGGGTTAATTCTGTTGTTTTTCGGGAGGATGGTGTTTGTTTTAGAAAACAAGTTCGTACATGCCACTATAGGGTGATTGTTCCATATGCATGAACATACATCTCAATGACAGTTTACTAAACTTTTCTTGTTTAGGGGTTAGTTCTTCGCTGTTGTTTTTCGGGGAGGAGGGTGTTTGTTTTAGAAAACAAGTTCGTACATGCCACTATAGGGTGATTGTTCCATATGCATGAACATACATCTCAATGACAGTTTACTAAACTTTTCTTGTTTAGGGGTTAGTTCTTCGCTGTTGTTTTTCGGGGAGGAGGGTATTTGTTTTAGAAAACAAGTTCGTACATGCCACTATAGGGTGATTGTTCCATATGCATGAACATACATCTCAATGACAGTTTACTAAACACCGAAATGTAACTATTCCTCTCTTTGCAGATGTTTCCGATGGTCGGTTGAGATAGTGATGAAAGATCTAACAATAATTATTTACCCTTCTGTAAAGTAATTGTCATTAAATCGTAAAATATACTTTTTTATTTCCATGATCAACCTGCATTTAATGACAAATTCAACATAATAATAATAGATCACATTTATAACACGCCTAATGTACACTGTTGGTAATAATGGTGGAATAATTATTTTTACCCCAATTTATTGAATGATTTTGACAATTATTTATTCCTAATAGATCTAGATAATAGTATACATTCTCAGATGTTATTGAATAATATTTGCCAGTGTTTGTTTTGCGTGACCGCTAAAGCATGTGTATGCTACTATGCTAATCAACTATGGGACTTACGTCCTTAAGTCATAACTGACAGTAATGGGGATTAATGCCTCATAAAAGGGCACTAATATAGCACATCGACACGGTTTTGATCCCGGGGGTTCACAGTACCGAGGCCATTGCTTAGCCAATGAATCATGACTGTACGCAGCGGGCGCTAGGGTACGTCGACGCCCCACAAAAACAAAAAAACAAAGAAAATGCAATAAATTTTCAATAATTCATTGCATTCTGCCCCGACCCCCAACATAAATCCTCTATGTGGGCATGCCTTGAACCATAATGCATGGCCCTACTGAGGAATTATGCCAAAATATATCGCTTGATATAATATTTGGAGTGCATTTTAAATGGAGATGATGTGTTTGCATTAAAATTGTATTTAAACATATATTATATGTTGTATTTAAGTTTGGAGGGTTGCACCATGTAATACCCGAAAAGGGCTGTAAACTCCGCTGATAGCTCTCGGTTCTAGACGCTTTGATCAATATGCTTTTATCAATCTGCTCAGATCATCTTCATGACAATGAACAGAACATTACCCAGTGTCAGGGGCGGATCCAGCCGGCGGCAAGGGGGGGGGGGAAGCCCAATTCGTGAGAAAATATTTAGCAGGGGAACTGGCCAGCCGGTGATAAGCGGGGGGAGGGGAGGGGTAAGAGCACTAAACTCCTTTTTTTTCCCAATTCGTGAGAATTTTTTAAATATTTTTTTTTGCCAGGAGGGGGGGGGGGGGCAGGCCCATCGCCCCCCCCCCCCCACTTGGATCCGCGCCTGCCCAGTGTACATAGTATGCAGCAAAACGAAGATTAATCTTGTAATGTATCATGTGTAAGACAGTAGAGATTTACGGTGATGAGGAAATTATTCTCATCTTCTCACAATCTTTGTCAATAATAATAAGGAAATGTCTCACTTTCGGTTATGAGAGACGGGAAGAGCTTACGGTTTATTGTTTTGAAATCGAAAGCAAAATTCGCACAAGATTGCAAAATTCTACTTTCTACTTTCTCTTTTTAATTTTGCTATTGAAGTCTTGATTTCAGCAAGTTTATTTGAATGAAGTACACAACAGCAGCAGTGGTGTATACAGCAGACACATCCCTACCCTTCCCCACCGAATGTAGAAAAAGGAAAGGAAGATAACAAAACAGAGAGTTTGAGAGAGGGAGAGAGAGAGAGAGAGAAGGAGGAGAGATATAGAGTGAGGGAGAGAGAGAGAGAGAGAGAGAGAGAGAGAGAGAGAGAGAGAAGGGAGATGCGGGGCACTCTTCATATTCGATTGCCTTGTCTCTCGCATTTTTATTCACACTGTACGACAGATGCCCCCCCCCCCCCCCCCCCACGTGACCAGCACTAGTCTGTACATCAAGTTAAGATATATACGTATGCAATTTTGTTTTGTTGGTCTCATTGGCTGTCAGTCTCGTTATTGTTGGTAGGCACACATCTGATTTGTATTGTGTTTCTGATGATGATTGCTATACCGCGACAGTTCTTTTTAGTCGCAAAATTGTGGATAATACTAGGATTTAAAAACGTGTACTATGTGAGCGGGTGGGGAGGTTAAAGAAAATAAATATTTATACAGATATTGACATGATATGAGCATGCACAGAGAATTACAAAGCACTTTAAGTATAATGTAATACGTACATGTTTGCATCTTGCGAAAAATAATGATGCATGGAATCTACATTTTAGGGAATAATGAACTATCATTGAAAGTAGATGTTTGCATTTTTCAGCATTTAAAAATTGTTAAATTGTTTCTACAGTATTAATATAAAACTTGATAGTCTATGTAAGCTTAACTTTTGTTTCATTTGTAAGCTGCTTATAATATAGACAGGGAATTGTTTTAATGTATGCACATAGTATGCACAACGTAATTTCATTTTATCTAACATTTTTATTCATAGAATTTGTGATTTTCCCATGGTAGTATGGCACCTTTGCAATAAATTGAACACAACGCCAAGTTCCTGGTTTTTGCTTTCGATTTATGTGTTTCCTGGCTTTTCAACCTATCTGGGGTGTATGGAGGAAGACAGTGGGAGGGTGATGTGAGGGGTAGCCGCGAGTGTTGGTAGGGTAGAGTAGGCCTAACGCTGTGGGTTAGTTTAGGATGGGTGAGGGTGTATTGAGTGGGACTGAGTGGAAGTAGCAGTGTGGGTTACAAGGGTGGGGGTAAGTGGTAGGTGCATGGGTATGGGAGGAGTAGAGAGATGTGGGTTAGTTTGGGATGGGGGTAGGGTGGGTTAGTGTTAGGTAAGTACGTTGGTAGGAGTAGGTGAAAGTGGTTTAAGTTGGGATAAGTGAGGGCGTACATAGTTGCAAATTAAAAAAAAAAAATCGTCTTGTAAGAGAATAACCTGCCCTTCTTGTGTTTTTAAAGTGCAAACTAAACTAAGTTTAGATGCACGCATCTGATAGCATGCAAGGTTGATATAAACATTTCTTCGGAAACTTACAAGACTTTCACGATTCTTCAAAGCTCACACTCTCTCTCACCCACCTTTTCCCTCTCTCTCCTTCTGCACATTCTTTCCATCTGTTCCTCTCCCTATCTCTCCTTTCTTTCTTCTTTCCCCATCTCTCCTTCTCTTTCTAAAATTTCTCTCTCCCCCTCTTCCTCATCTTTTCTCCCGTTTCTCTTAACTTACTCTCAAAGATTTGTTTCTCTTCAGTTTCTGTCTTCACCTCTCTCTGTCTCTCTCTCTCTCTGTCTCTCTCTCATTCTCTCTCCCTCTTTGATTGTCTATTATTTTACAAATACACTTTCTTCTCTGCATCAATATCTCCCTTTTGGCTAATAAACCTTTATACAAAATTAATTAATCAATGGTACTTGCATTTTGAGAGAAACTCATTCTAGATCGTTTAGCAAACCTAAGTTATTTGATCTAGTAAATTCATCAACAAAAAATAACTTGTTAGAAATTACATCCACATGTACTAAGAACAATACCTCTCATCGTTTACATGAGGCTAGACTACAAGTTTACTGATTTTTCAGCCAATATCACACTTTTTGTTTCCAGAAAAAGTCAATTGATGGTAATACTGTATTTCTAACCTATAACATTTAATAGTGTATCATGTGTATGTTTTCTTCGATCTGTAAAGTTTTTATTCTTGTTAAGTACCAGAACTCAATATCATTCTTATCTTTTAGGCCTATAAATATAGTTTTAATTACTAAAGTGTTTTAGCTTAAATCTTCTATTGTTGTGTCCACTTCACATATTTCTCATCAATTGATTACATTAACTTTGTTTGGCTTTGTACAATACGTTATGGTTGTAAATTTGAGGTTTTTTGTATAGTTTTTTTAAAATTTATTTATATATCTATTTTTTAACTTTTTAATTTTATTTATATTTTCTTTTATTATTATTTTTATCAACACGGCCCTGATTTAAACCAGTCTTTGAACTGTGTCTGGCTTTTACCCTGTATGAATTCAATAAACTCAACTGAACTCATCCTAACCGTCACTGCATGAATTAGAATGAATAAAGAAATATGAATTCAAATAGAAGTATAAACACCACCAGATTGTCCATGTGTCTGTTTGCAAATAATGATTTAATTGTTTTTATCGATTTCAATATGATATAATCAACAACTCTCACAATTATATTCATAGCTGTACATTGATCATAAATCTCTGTGAACATTTGAAAATAATTTACAGGAAAGCATTATTTATTATGAAGACTGGCAAAAGATGACACGTGACATGTATGTCATCTAAGTCAAAAGGAGAAGACTGAATAAATAATGTGAGAATATTCTCACAAAAATAATACAACATAAACATGTAACCTCTCTTAAAGATTACTGTCTGAAAAATGAATCTATATTCATCGCTATTTCAAATTAACAAAATTCACCCCCATTTCCCAACCCTCCAAACAAAGAAACTTCAGTCCTGCCTATACATGGATATGAAGCTAGTAAAATCACTACATTTCCTGGATGTACATGTATGCTTTGTGAATAGCACTGAATATGGTAATTCCTTGTGAACAGTTTTGGATTCTCTTAACTAGTTTGAATATATCACAAATAATTATAATACTGTCAAAATTGAGAACCAAAGCTGTGACGTCATAAAATATATTTTTAGAATTTTTCAATTTTTTTCGTCATTTTCCCGAAAGAGCATCAAAAATAATGTCCAAATGTCAAAAACCAATTTAATATGTTAAGTATTGGCTGAGATATGACCATCTGAATAAATATATTTCCTATAGGAACTCAGTGTTATATGCTCTGGCTCCTAACCATTAGAAGCCAGAGCATATTCAATTGGTTTTTCGACATTTGGACGTTATTTTTGATGCTCTTTCGGAAAATGAAGAAAAAATTGAGATATTCTTAAAACAGATTTTTTGATGACGTCACACTTCACCACTCTATAAATGTACATGGTAAAACTTGACGTTGATAGCTTAGCAAATTCAAGTGGCATATAAAACTGTAGCTCTTTGACAAAGGACCACGTTTGGCCAATCACATCAACATCTACCTTATAACTGTTTAGGAACCAGTATTCCAATCACCAAAAATAATTAAAAGAAATAATGATGTTAAGCTAGATTGTATAAGATCAACCTCGTAAAACTTGCACTCCTATTATAATGGTTAACAGTTAAAGACCCAGTCGGAAGTGAAAAATGAAATAAATTAGGACAAATCAATTTTCACATACTTCAGAAATTACAAAAGGGTATGGATAATTTATTTGTTAACTGTATACCTTTGTATAAGTATATGTTGAATCGCCATGGCAACACGGAACCCCTAACATCAAGAGCAGCATGTTTTGCTGATTGGTGCACTGAAAGAGAGTAATGCCTCAGTAACACCTTTGCGTATTTAGCTTGCGTATTTCACACAAAGGTCAGGTAATGCTACCACACAACCCAATGCGATGACCCAATGATTAAAAATATGCCTAAAAAGCCCACTAATTTACCGCTGCATATCTGATCAAAGCTCAAATGTGAGATTTAAAGATGCATTTCCGCAGATGCTAAAGATTTTAACAACCTGTTTCATTGCACAATCATTACATACATTGTACCTTTTGCATTGTGCTTGATAAATAAACTTTAACAAAAAGTCATGATGAATCTTCACCTAACATCATAATGAAGTAAATAAATCGTTTTTAATGATGCTAGGAGAATTACAAGATGAACATTCGTGACCTTTTCAGCTTTCAGTAGTTTAGGGGAGAAGGGGGGGGGGGGGGGGGGGAGAGGAGGAAAAGAGGGGTGAGGGGTGGGGGAAAGGGAGTACAGAAGTAGAAAGGCATTTTTTTTTAACTTTACATTCCCAACATAATGACTGTTTACTGCTGTTCAAAATGGCTACTTTTGATAATACTGTTCTTAATAACAGGAAAAAACACAGAAAGCAGCCACAAAACAGAAAAACCAAGCTCACAGTGACATCAGTGTCTCAAAGACTTTTCAGTCTCTTTCTTCAATGCCTCAGTTTTTGTTTCAAACTGTTTTCTAATGAGTGTTGACCCAATTTGTCTTTCAGGCTTGGGGCAGTGCTCACCCTGAGATCCCATCACCCTTACACAATAATGTATACTACGTACAGCTATTGGCATTGATGTGCTTGACATAGTTCATTGGAATGGCCAGACCATATCGTGCAAAACCAGAAAAGGCATGAAACTTTTGCTCTTTGTTAATAATGGCTACTTTCGTAGCAAGAAACTAATTCGAATAGCAAAAGTAGTTTTGTGAGTTCATTAGCATGGAAATCTTGCCAATCTGAACCAAATTTCTTTCATTCAAAAGTTTGTGATACTCACTGCTGTCTCCAGAAAGAAACATGAACATCAGGGGTGATAGTGAGCACTAAAAAAAAGGTTGTTTTTTTTCCCTCAACCCCGCCCCCCTTGAGTAAAAAAACATCCCCCCCCCCCCCCCCTTTAGATTGAGAAAAATTGGGAAATAATAGGGAAAAAAAGGGAAAAATTGAGAAAATAAGGGAAAAATCTGGATAAAATCTGGAAGGAAAAAAAAATCGGGTAAAAGAAAGAAAAAGAAATCAGTGAAAAAAATAAATGAATTGGGAAACCAATTTAAATCAGGTTTTTATCAGGCCTGCTATATTGACACTAACAGGAATGTTAGGCAACCTGGGAGAAGTTTAAATTATTGTACAGAAATTGTTGGTTTGAGATAAAGATCATGTGCTCAATCTTGTTATTGAAAACAAGTCAGAACAAGCAGGCCATCACTGGTCCAATCATGAACTCTTTTTCCACCATGGATCAAAACAATGGAAGGCCTCATTGTACCGAGTATATCATACAGTCAACAACTAAATTATTTGTAACCTTACCAAGTCTTCTAATTTTTTAGGTATATGAAAAAATGATTTGTTCCGATTCACATTTCTTGAGAATTTGACATATTGATGCTCAGATCTAAAACTATTCAACAGAGGCCCTCATTCAACCAGTCCACCTTTCTTTTTTGAGTTACGAAACACACAAAAAACATGAATTTACAAGGGGTATGAATAATTCAGTTGGAAACTGTACTTTAAGTGTAACAAAGGTCGAGCGTGGCAGACCATCTTTCGTTCCGATGATCAACGGAAGCAAGTAAAGAGTTAGTGCAAATATTTCAAAATATCACAACTATAATGAAGGAATGCATTACTCTGGTGTCTCATGAAGCACAAGAACTAGATATCATGTGACACATCATGGCATATCAAAGCTTTGCACCATTCACTATCCATCCATGGCTGGCAGAAGAGCGTGTATCAAGTAAATAGGCTATTGAGTGGAGCGGAGTCACCCCCCTCTGTATCAGCCTGTGTCTTCATCCACCCAGCCTACAATCTTGCCTTCCCAACCAGGGAGTATGTCATCATCATTGATCACCTGACAAATAAAGGAAAGATGAGATTGTCATTAGCAAGGGACATGTTCATAGGTAGCCATAATTTTTTCAATTTTCATTTATTTTTCAATTTCATTTCGTTTTATTAAATCATTTAAAATAAAAAACAGTATACAAATCATGCGTGTATGAACATATAAAGCCAAGGCTTGATTACTGGGGCCCCCACTACATAAAGAAATATACATAGCATAAACATGAAATTACAAACGAACTTAAATGTTGAAAAAAAAAATTAAAACATTAAGCACTAAACTAAAGGTAAAGGGAGATAGGAAAAGGCGAAATAATCTTATCACATCTTGGGCAAATCAGTTGCAAGAAGTAACTCTTCATGAAGTTTGACAAATTTATCTACTTGTACTTTACAACTTTACAAGAAGCATATACAAACTTAAAGTGTCACGGATGCAAAGTGGTCATGTGTTAGGAAAGAATATAAAAGTTACTAAAATAGCCTTTTGGGTCTCATCATACATGTAATTCATTTATCTCGGGGAATGTAATAAATATAGTCAAAACACTACTCTAAAACTTAACGCCTAAAAAGGGTTTGAATGGTTGTGTCTCCCTTGTCACGTGACATTATTACTTTGTTTATCATCATTACATAGTATATTTATTCCTCTTTGAAATTATACCATATTTGTTATGATTTTGTAGCCGTGGAATGAGCCGAGTAGTACATCAGAATAAGGGGCAGGGTCAAAGGGGGAAAGTAGTAAAATTCACTAGTATAAAAATGATGCATGCACAAGATTTCATTATACGATCTATCCACACTCGAGTTGGGGCTGTGTGTATCTATCCCACAAAGCCGTTAAGCTGAGTGCAATAGATACACACATCATCAACGAGGGCGGATAGATCGTATAATGAGCGAATGAAAACATGCATCATTTGATTGATACTACAAAACTCCAAGATCCTTGCTATTTGATGTAAAAAATTTCATTCAAGATTGTTTTGTGACAGTATGGCTGACAAATAAATTTTAAGTTTAATAGGCTTAATTATATAAGCGCACTTACCTATATACCTATTTACACTTAGTGCAGCGCAAGAATATAGAATAGGCCCATGCATACATAGTATAAGCACTCTAACCTCTATGCACACTACTGCGCATCATGTACGCATTGAAGAAACGTGTGATAGTTACGTGTGTTACGTTCTGAACTTCGCTTCCGATTTATTCTAAACTCATCAACTGGAAACTATTGTAAATAAATCACACATAACCGCGCACGACCAATCATTTGATTAGGATCTGGGAATGAGTTGTATAATAAGCACTGGCGTTGTTCTGCAGTGCCCTACACAGCAGCCCTACACTATTCAACGAAAAAAGAATGCACAGCCTTAAAAAAGCAGTGTATTTTGCAATTTTTGACTTTCGGCCTCAGCCCTTATTTTGGTGAATCGTACATTCCTTGACTAAAAAATCATAACAAACGGGGTATTATTTTGAAAAGGAATAAACACTCGTACTAATAACATTTAACATAGCTATGATTATGCCATATCAAGAGAGATATAACCAATCAAACTTGAAATTCCAAACATTATTTGAGGGGTTTACTTTGTTCAAATCATAAAACCTGGGACCTGTTTCATAAAACTTGTTATCAAGAACGAATGTTAACTTTGTATTACAGATTAGCTCTCAGCGAATCAAATGCCATAATTTCAGTATATTAGTTATGACAGCTATTGTAACTTGTAAACAAGTGTCTTGGAATGAAGAGGTGTTGCATCGAGCTCAAGAAAGCGGGTGCAGATTCAAACGATTAGAGATTAGAGGCTTGGACACATAATGCGGCATGAGGGCTTGATGCGCAGAGTCATAGAATGTCGTATTCATGGAAAGAAGAAGAGGGGAAGATCTCGTAAAGGCTTTCTAGATGATGTAACCACAGAATGTGGAGCAACAGGGTATGAAACGATGAAACGGATGGCTCAAGACCGAGGACACTTGATATAGAATTTTGAATGGGTCACTGAACCTGTCATAAACTGACAGATCACTATTGATGATGAAACAAGTTTGATAAAACGAGGCTCTGATTAGGCTTACCTCTTCTTTTACTGTTCCAAACTCAGGATCTAACGCCTTGAAGTGAAATCTGTACGCCCCTTCTCGGTCAAAGATCTGCTTGAAGTCTGCTAGCGTCACTTCCCCTAACCTGAAATATCAAAGGAAGAATAATAATGAAAAACCATATTGGTTATTTCTATAGCGCACATATCCGCCATGCAAGGTGCTCCAGGCCCTCCAATAATAGCCAGACTACCGATTTCGGTGCTCACGGCATTCAATGAAATCCTTCCTACCGGTGCCCATTTCACACCTGGGTGGAGAGTGGCAAATGTAGATTAATGTCTTGCCAAAGGACATTAGCGCCGTGGTGGGACTCGAATCTCTAATCATGTGATCCACAGTCGGGGGGACATATCCACTGGACCTCAACACCTCTACATGACAACAAGAGTATCAATCTACATTTGCCACTCCATATCCACGAGAGAAATGTGGACCTGGTATGATGACAAAGCCTTTGTGTTTAATTGGCATATACCCTCACAGTGACCATATGGTAGGAATACTCCCCAATGGAGTGGAGATGGTGCACATTTCCAATTTTCAATTTCAATTTATTCATGTATCTAACAAAACATTACAAATCAATTATAAGCATTTAAAACATATATAAGAAATACATGTTGGAAATGGAGGGGTCCACTAAAAAGCAATAAACTTCTGTGACATTCTGTGTGAATGAATTTGATGATCAGGTTAATGATATTTGTTAAGTGCTTATGAGATGGTTTTTCATATTAAGCGCTATATAAATGCAGGTTAGTGTCATTTTTCCAACATGTATTTGCTGTTGATCTGCTCTGGGCCTGGTTTCATAAAAATGATTTCATGAAAACGGTTTCATAAAACCTCTTAGCCAGAACAAATGCTTCTCTGTGACCTCTGTGACAATTTAGCTCTCAGCCAATCAAAAGCAAGTATTTAAATAACAGTTATAGTAACCAAATTTGGTTGAGTTATCACACTAGAAATTATTCTTCTTGGGTACATTTAGCTTAATAGCCAAATGAAATGGCACAAAAACACGCGTCCGGAAAGCAAAATGCATACTTCTTATCATTTTATGATTTTATATGGAGCTAGTAAATGCATATACCATCTCGATGTTGATGAGGCTTAATGTTAGCTAAACTTTAATTCTGATATGTCAAAAAAGAACTTTCAATCACCAAACAGTACTAACTATTTTGCCTCGTCCTTTCCTCTTTTTTGTGCCACTATATTTTGTGAAGCCGACTTACCTCTTCGGTATAGATGACATGAAAGGCGTGACGGTTCTCTCAGTGAAATATAAAACCTTAGTACATGGCTGGGATAAGTTATTATTGGCTGGGCTCAATCTGTCTAAACCTAAAGGAAAGGAAAGACAATTTAAAGATACCAGTCATAAAATTGATTCAGTGAAAGATATTGCAATATGGTGGAACCGTCTTAGAAAACCAAACTGTTGCTACAAAAAAAAGATTGTGTCCCATTTCTTTTATTTATTTATTTATTTATTTATTCCGTTTTATTTTAACAGGGTAGCCCCGTCAGTATTCAAAGTACTGTTTTCCAGGGGGCCCTGTACATAAATGAACATATATGAAGAAACAAACTACTTGAACAATATAAACATCATGGAAAACATCAATACATAGCAACATATAACTTTATATATGTAAATACATATATACAAAAGTAGGTTTCAGATTAAGAACCTCATTTTCTTGGTCAAAATAACAATTTTAAAAGACAGCACAAGAATTTAATTATGAACTCCCGCACGATTTAAGGAATATCACTTTGTTGGGTAAACTTATGTTTTGAATACAGTGATGTTCTAGCATTATTTACTAAGCAATGTACTAATTATTATCATTACTATATTATATTATATATTATAATTGTAAAACCATGTAATACCGAATTTTTTCAGCAACTTTTTCTTATTTTTTATTGTTACAATTTGTTATGGTTAAGGAAATCGTACTGCATATCTGTTCCTAATTACAAGACCATTCATTCAAGCAATTTGATGTTTATATTATAATATAAATATCTGATTACTTTGTAAAACAGACAATATTAGCCTTGAGCTGCATGATTTTGTTTAATAAACCAATTCAATTATAGTTACAATTACCATAAATTTTCAGACAACCAATATTCAACATCATCTTTTGTATCATCTAAGCCAAAAAGAGACTCACTTGTGAGGGATTCTTTGTGATCACCGAGAGTATCATCAGACGGTGATGACCTGGTCTGATTGTACCTCCTGATGGCGCTCTCCGTTGAGCTAGACTCACTGATTGGACGAGAGTTGTGGTAGTGAGAGTCCTGCAGCTGATCCATGATAGATACTATACCCTGTGAGGTTAAGCAATCAAAGGAGATGGCATGTGATCATCCATTGCATTGAACTGAATATGGCTCAATAGAGCTGAACTGAATAGAGCTGAACTGAATAGAGCTGAACTGAACTCAATAGAGCTGTACTGAACTCAATAGAGCTGAACTGAACTCAATAGAGCTGAACTGAACTCAATAGAGCTGAACTGAACTCAATAGAGCTGAACTGAACTCAATAGAGCTGAACTAAACTGAACTGCACTGAACTGGACTGAACTGAATAGACCGGTTTATTAACATATTCAAATTTATAGATGTTTCTTACCTGGGGACCTATTGACGTAGTTAGTCCATTAACCTGTTATAAATGAATGAACTACAATATTTGGAATCCAGTCTGCATATAATATTACTTGTTCCTATGTTGGCCATGTCTCTGGGAAGCTTTTAGGTTCTCAAGAACAACCTTTGTTGCATCAAATTTGAATATGTAAGTAAAACGGTCTATTGAACTGAATTAATTTGAACTTAGCTGACATCACTGATGAAGCCGGTATTTTTCAATGTCGGAATATGACCTTCACTATCTCCTCCTCCTCCTCCTCATCAATCACCACCATAACACCAACACAACTATTGTTATCATCAGCCATCGTTGCAATCATTGTCGATACCATTTCATCAATATCATCATCATCATCATCATCATCATCATCATCATCACCATCACCATCAACAACAACAACAACAACTATTGTTATCATCGTTGCAATCATTGTCAATACCAAATCACTAAATCAATATCACTATTATCAAAAACAAATGATCATCAAGACACCTACCTGTTCTAAGGAATCTAGAAGATGATGGCTAGGATCGTGGCTACTAATATTACTACGAAGACTTCTTAGAGTACTGCGAATTGTCTGCATATCCTCCGACCCCTGTAAAGGCACATACAGAACCCAGGTCAATATACTGCTACATTAGTAGATGCATTGAGAACACATAGAGTAGATGAAGAGAAAGGGGAAGATAGATAAAGAGAGGGGGGAAGGAAGAAAGAGAGAGAGAGAGAGAAAGAGAGGCGAACAGAGAGAGAGAGAGAGAGAGAAGGAGCGATGAAGAGAGAGGGGGGGGGGGAGTAGGAAGGAAGAAAGGTGGGGGGAGGGAGGAAAAAGAAAGAGAGACAGAGAGAGATGGAAAGGAAATAAACAGAAGTAAAGGAAAGACAGGCGAGAGGAAAGGAGGGAGATAGAAAGGAAGGAGAGAGAGAGAGAGAGAGAGAGAGAGAGAGAGAGGGGGAAGCAGAAATAGAGAGGGGAAAGAGAGTGAGAGAGAGAGAGGGGCGAAGGAGAAAGTTGAAGTAAGATGAGATGATGATAGTTACCTCTCCAAGTGATGATGGTCTATCTGGATTGTGAAGGTGACCTTCAAGCTTGCCTAGTTTCCTATCGTGTGCTGATATGTGTGCTGCTAGATTGGCCTGCAGAAAAAAAGGAAAAAAAGAGGAAGTATGAAAATTGGATGAAAGTTTTTGTTCATATGTGAAATCAGTATTCTGCAACATGATATAAATTGTTTACCAGACATAATACCCTCCTGGCTATCATGAGATGATAATAATAATAATAATATTCAGCTCTTATATATAGCGCTTAATACATCTCGGACGTCTCTAAACGCTTTACAGAAATACTATTACCCCGGTCATTGGATTCAGTGCTTGCCCTCACACAATGTGTGCACAATCTTTACTCCCTGGGGAGCATTCCAGTATACTTTTTGTTGTACTCCTTTTCTGGTTCAAATGTAATTATTTACGAATGTACAATCTGATGTTTTATTGATGTTCGAGACTAAAATGATTTTGAATTGAATAGACTTGTCTCTACATACCTCTGCTATTCCGACTGTACTAAGTCTATGACTAAGTTCCTGTATCTGGGATTCTAGCTCCATATTAGAGCCTCCTGATTCCTCTAGTCTGTTCTGGAGCTGAGTCTGGGTTCACAAAAATACAAAATACAAAATAAAGAACAATCAAATAAAACAAGAAATTTAATTTGTCATTGAAACGAAAAAGGTACAGTGTAGGATGTTATTAATTCTGGTGGACGCTACTCTTGATAAGAATTGTCACAGCAACAACATATCAAATTTTGGAAGAAAATCGATCAATATTAACAGAGATACATTCAATTTTCAATAAATATTCAAAACGCCTAATAATGCACACAATTATTTTTTTGATTTGATTTTTTGATTTTGATTTGAATTATCGGTTTCTGCATCATTTTTCTTTTTTTTCATCATACATTTTCATGAACATAATATGCTTTGATTCAATATTTTAAGTGTATATAATATTATACAGATAATAAACAAAATCAAACAAATATATTGAATGCATAATTAGAACCCAAATTGCTATCAGTAGTTACCTTGAATGAGTTGAGCTGGAGCATTTGATAAGCAAGGCTTTCAATCTCTTCTTCTTTCCCAGACTTACTTCAAGTATTCAATTAAATCTTCCTCTCATTTTTTATATTACATACACTATGAACATGGCGGACAAAGAAAGAGGACACAATATACAGTTCCTCATTCTACCCTCAACAATTGCTGTGGTAGACGAAGGAACATCCCTTCACTGCTATTATGTAAAAATGTTTAGAACAGGTGTCACATGCATATTCACCTGTTCTACACATTTTTACATAATAGCAGTGAAGGGATGTTCTTTTGTCTACCACAGCAATTGTTGAGGGTAGATTGAGGAACTGTATATGTTGTACTCTTCCTTTGTCTGTCATGTTCATAGTGATAGAACCCAAATTGCTATCAGATAATTACCTTGAATGAGTTGAGCTGTAGCATTTGATGGGTCAGACTTTCAATTTGTTCTTGCTGTTGACCGAGAAGTTTATCTTTCTGACCAAGCTGTCTACTGATGTCACTCGCTTGACGATCCTTCTCTTCAAAATTTCTCTTCAACTCCGACTATCAAATCAAAATCAAAATCAAAAGATCCATATCAGATAAAAGGAAAGATAGCAAATTCAAGATTAAAGAGAAGGTTGCATTCTGGGAAGAGGTGAAAAATAATTTGTGAGCGTTATCATTGTTATTAACCGGGATGGAAGAACATCACATAAAACGTGTTCCCTGAAAAGCATGGCTCTTGAAATGCCTTCATATTCTAAATATGGCATGTAACATCGTAAAAATCAGGGCGGATTTTTAAGCCATGTGTTTGTGTAGTCCCATATACATCCTTCTGTGTACAGTGCTTGTAACTTTACCCAGACTTGGCCAAATTTCTTATCATTTTGATGATTCCAGAACCTTGCAAAACACACAAATACTTATATGCTAGATGATCAACCTTTTCTGATTGATTCCACAATGTTTCTTTCACGAAGCAATCACATTATCAGAACTCAACTTTATCTTTAAGATCAAAAGATGGCATCAATAGATTGAAAGTGAATATTCAGAGACGGCTTGCTCTCAAAGGCATTGGCATTTTGTTGTTGTTGTTGTTGTGATCTCACTTTGCATACTTAATAATGAATGATGCAAGATAATTACTTGACATTATCATGCAATTATAACTGAACTTCACTAAATTAATAACATAATATATTGCGGCTTCCATAAAATTTGCTTGAACTGACAAATACCATTTTAAAATAAAATTAGTGCTTAATACCTAAACAGGTTGACACACACAACTTTTCTTGAGATACTCAGAAAGCTGAAAGTACTTATAGATACTTATAGTAGATATAGAGTTGAAAACCTGTCTATTACTGATTGGGCCAGAGCAAAATTACTTCACTTCATATTTCAGATGTATAAGTCCTGTGATTGTGAAGTGCGTAGTCTTACAATAAAGACCCTGTTTTACACATCATGAGTTCCAAGAATGAATGCCTCCAAACGTATGAATATACACATGGACTCATGGAAGTCAACTTACATTTTCAGCTTCTAAATTCTGTTGCGTGAACCCCATCTTCAGACTATCGGCCTTCATCTGAAGGATGGCGTTGTCCTGCTCAGTCAACCGTGACTGTAGCCCCGCCTTGGTACCCTGGAGATTACGACAATCTTGCTTGACCTTTGACAGCTCGTTACGAAGTTGATTGCACTCATATTGCTGCTGGTTTAATCTCGCTTGCAATACGACCTTAAAGAAAGAGGGAAAGTGAGAGGGGGGAGTTACTTTGTAAGTAAGTTGAAAGCACTCATATTGCTGCTGGTTTAATCTCGCTTGCAATACGACCTTAAAGAAAGAGGGAAAGTGAGAGGGGGGAGTTACTTTGTAAGTAAGTTGAAAGCACTCATATTGCTGCTGGTTTAATCTCGCTTGCAATACGACCTTAAAGAAAGAGGGAAAGTGAGAGGGGGGAGTTACTTTGTAAGTAAGTTGAAAGCACTCATATTGCTGCTGGTTTAATCTAGCTTGCAATACGACCTTAAAGAAAGAGGGAAAGTGAGAGGGGGGAGTTACTTTGTAAGTAAGTTGAAAGCACTCATATTGCTGCTGGTTTAATCTCGCTTGCAATACGACCTTAAAGAAAGAGGGAAAGTGAGAGGGGGGAGTTACTTTGTAAGTAAGTTGAAAGCACTCATATTGCTGCTGGTTTAATCTCGCTTGCAATACGACCTTAAAGAAAGAGGGAAAGTGAGAGGGGGGAGTTACTTGGTAAGTAATTTGAAAGCACTCATATTGCTGCTGGTTTAATCTAGCTTGCAATACGACCTTAAAGAAAGAGGGAAAGTGAGAGGGGGGAGTTACTTTGTAAGTAAGTTGAAAGCACTCATATTGCTGCTGGTTTAATCTAGCTTGCAATACGACCTTAAAGAAAGAGGGAAAGTGAGAGGGGGGAGTTACTTTGTAAGTAAGTTGAAAGCACTCATATTGCTGCTGGTTTAATCTAGCTTGCAATACGACCTTAAAGAAAGAGATAAAGTGAGAGGGGAGGGGAACTTTGTAAGTAAGTTGAAAGCACTTTTAGTTAGTGCTGCTGGTTGAGTCTCGTTTACCTAAGAGAAGCATCATGAAAATTGGGTCACGGTAAAAAGAGTTTACCAAGTTCTAATAATAATAATAATAATAATACATATGATTTATAAGGCGCCAAATCCACTTGACAGTCAAATGCTCAAGGCGCAGCTTGTGCAAAAGATGAAATACATACATGATACATTTATACAAAGTGCGATAGGAAAGGTACAGACATGAAAGGTAATGGTAATCAATTATAAGCTAAATTAAACAGATATTTCTTAAGATTGTTTTTTAACACCTCAGCAGAACTGCTATTCTTAACCCATTGAGGGAGAGTATTCCATAACGAAGGCCCAGCATGAGCGAAGGTTCGTTCCCCCCACTTTGTTTTAACCCTAGGAGTAACAAGTAAGCCAGAGTTTTGAGAACGTAGCTGTCTAGAAGGAAAGTAATGCTTAATCAAGCCGATGTTATACTGCGGAGCAGAGCCATGTATACAGTGAAATAATAGCAAAATAATCTTGAAAACAACACGTTTTTCTACGGGCAACCAATGGAGTGATTTGAGGACTGGTGTGATGTGACTGTACTTGTTGGACAGGGTCACGACACGAGCAGCAGCATTCTGTAATCTTTGTAATTTTGCGAGTAGGTTGTGAGGCGAACTAAACAAAAGGCCATTACCAAAATCCAAGCGAGAAGAAATCAAAGCATGAGTAATTTTCTCGGTGGCACCACGGTTAAGATATTTACGAATAAAACCCAAATTGCGTAACTGATAACGTACTGATTTTGAGACATATTGAATTTGAGTAGACATTTTCATGTTTGAGTCGAGAAACACACCAAGGTTGCGACATACATTAGATAGGGTAATTTCATGTCCAGCAAGAGTAATTGAAGTGATGGAAGAAATCTTCTCTAACTGAGTCTCAGAACCATACATTATAAATTCGCATTTGGCGAGATTTAATTTCAGTGAATGTGAGTTTAACCAATTATGAACATCTTGTACACAAGTCTCAATGTTATGGATAGCGCTGGCTGCATTGCTCTGATTGGGTTTGAAAGAAGTATATATTTGAATATCATCAGCATAAACATGATAAGAGAGAGAATGGCGATGAAAAATACTCTTCAAACCCGTTAAATATAACGAAAAAAGCGTGGGCCCGCCCACAGAGCCTTGTGGAACTCCGCATGTAAGTGGTACAAAATCTGAAAGGTAGCCGTTTATCAAGACAGCTTGAGAATGGCATGACAGGTATGATTTAAACCATTCCAGGGCTTGACCTTTAATACCGAGTGACATGAGGGTATTCACCAGAACAGTGTGGTTAACAGTGTCAAAGGCGGAAGACAAATCAAGGAGTACCATAGCAGTTACTTTTCCGCCATCCATCTCCTGGAGTATAAAGTTGGATACATTAACAAGGAGGGTTTCTACACTGTGGTGGGGACGGTATGCAGATTGAAATGGGTCAAGGAGGTCATTATCGAGACAGAAATCATTTAATCTAGAGAACACCACCCTCTCAAGTATTTTGAATAAAAACGGGAGATTAGAAACTGGACGGTAATTACTTAGTAATTCAGAATCAAGATTGGGTTTCTTCAGTAAAGGAAGAATGTGTGCCGTTTTAAGAACAGAAGGTACGCATGCCTGAACAATACTTAAGTTGACAATCTGTGAGATAACAGATGCAAATGAAGAGGAGCAATCCTTAATGAGAACAGTATAGACAGGGTCTAGTTTACACGACTTAGCTGGCAATCTATGAAGCAGAACTGAATAAATCTTTGAGCCAGCAACTGTTAAACAGAAAGGCTTATAGTAGTAGTATGTGATACACAGGGCTCAAACTTAACGGGATCCAAAAGAAAGAACCCCAAAATGTCCAAATTAAAGAGGGGCCTAGCCTGCACTGTTTTAACCGAATCCCTAGTTTTAACCGTGAAGTGAGTGTGGACCCCTCTGGTATCTTTTTTATTACAAAATTTAAATTGACATAGCTTTCAGAAACATTGATCACATTAATCAAGATTTCTAGTGAAAAAAAAAAATGAATTGCATCTATCATTATTTGTTACAACGATAAATGAATTAAAGAAATTCAATTCATTAATATTTACATTTTATCTGCATTACTTTCCATAATGCAGATATAATTTCAGTAATGCAATAACAAACATAATTACAAAGCAAAGGTAAATACAAAATTAAATGCACATATTGTATGACATCATAGGATGTGAACAAATCCATGATGTTTCTTTCTCTATACTGTCCACCATTTGTTTCATTTTTTTTTCTTTCATCTGATTGTTTATTTTTCAATATTAAGAAAATATATATACATATATTTATTTTCCACTCATGGGATAGATTGCCCTTCGTATTGGTCCTTCGGGGGGGGGGGGGGGGGGGGGGGATTTCCTACAGAACATTTATCAGACATGTGACTGAATTCTCAAAAATGAAAGAGTAATTGATTTATATTTACCACTTGTTCCTTAGCTGTTGTTCCTTCAAACTCAATCTGGTCTTCCTCCGCTTCGGAGCTTCCATCTTCCTCCGCTATCTTACCATGCAGCAGCTAGGAGATAGAGAGATAGAAAGAGAAAGAGTGGTATGTGTATAACCATGGACCTATTACGGAAGGACATTCGATGTGATTCTTTCTTTGATCCAATGAGATCCACCGCCTCCCGATTATGTGCATCTTAATGAGAACATTCAGCTGTTTTAACAATAACGATTGCTCAAGCATTTTTGGTCATTGACAAAGGAGCAGTTTCCCTCTCTTGGGTTTTGTTTGGATGGTGTGCTCTGTAAGAGTGTGTCTTAAATAAAAACATCCCCAATGGGGAGCAGCAAAGTTGAAACGCAGACGATTTTGGTGATATGAAATGTATTATTACTTATTCGCACACTTTCGCACACACCCATGACCTTACAAAATAATTAGAAGGCCATGATCTTTATAAGCCCTGTGCGTTGTAACTTTGGAATATTATGAGGAAATTGGGGGGAAACAGGATTTTAAATCACAACCAATCCAAATATAACCTCATCTGGTAATATCAAAATGTTTTTCAAAATAAAATACAGTACCAGAACAACAATTTCGGATTATAAACCAGAACTGCACATCGATTTTCCATGATTTAAGCGAGTTAATATCTTCTGCGCATGTAGATTAACATGAGTAAGATCACTATCTTGATTCTGTCCCGGCTTTTTGGCAATGGACCTCATGAGATCAAAGTGAAGAAACATGTACGTAATGTTATTGAGATGACATTGACGAGACAATCATAATGAATTTGTTAAGAAAACGATGAATGTCCATCCTTACTTGGTCCATGGTAAAACAGGTGTTACATTGGTAGTACCTACATGTATAGGCCTGTTAGAAAATGATGCAGTAAACCGCCACATATTTTTCAACATTTACACAAATGGCGACTGCGCGCAACAGAGGACTTGTGCTCATTTTTTTGTAAATAAGGCTTAAATTGATCATAAAAGTGAAGGCTAATCCTGGTGACTGACAGCACCTGTTGTTAGGTAATCACCCAAATGGGCTCCTATTCCCCACGACGGCCCACTACTATTCCTTATTTTAAGATGACGTGGATCCTAATCAAATGATTGGTTGAAAGCGTAATTTGGATAATGACTGGTCATTATCCAATGGTGATGGTCGGTCATTATCAAAATTATGTTACAAAACATCATTTTGTTAGGGCATTAGTAAAATTACCCATACTCGGTACCTTCAAAACAGTCCAAACGCCTCGGCGTGTTAGACTGTTCCAAAGTACCTCGTGTGGGGAATTCTTACTAAGTAATGTCCTCACTGATGTGTATTATTTGTATATTAACAGACACATACATAATTCAGAGAAAAGAGGGGATTCTTGGGTGTATGAGTAAGTTTGGAGGCCCCGCTATAAGGATCAATTCTCCAAAATGGGATTGGTTGGCAGTTATGTAATTTGAATAAACCTACCAGTTCTTGTAGACTCTGTAATAACTTCTTTGTGTCTTCTATGCTATCCCCCATGAGAGCTTGCTCTTCTATCAATGCTTCACTGAGTGAGATGGATGACCTCCGTGAACTAGGAAGTGAATGGGGACCGCCATCTTCACCTGCACTTCCTGTTTTGGGTTAAAAGGTCATAGTTCAAATTACTTGGGAGATAATGTCCTGTAGGGACATTCAAAGTTATCAAAGCTGATGCCAAGGTTGTCACTTACACAGAGACTGGGGGTTTGTTGTTTGTGTCGACCAATAGGATGACTATTGGGGTAACCCTTCCTGAAAAAAAAACTTTTGGAATATTCTTTTAAAGCCCCACTGCACTACTTAAAGCTACTTGTGCCCTCTATATAGCAAACAATGTCTAATCGGTGACCGTTGTTCCCCCATGATCCCCTGTTCTTATGTTAATTGAGAGCTGATTTGATGAGATAACCACATGTCAGTGACCTTGCAGGGAGGTATAATCCCTCCTGGACAAACTAGTGTAGATGGCCTTTAAGATAACAATTACCTTTTTTGTTCATTAATCAAGAGACTACATCAAATATCATGTACACTTTTTTGAGAGTATGTACTATTTTTACTTGCAAGACATAAATCCAAACTTCCCAAAAGGATGACAAATTTTCATGTAAATTTCCATACTTCATACATATAGGAATGTTGATAGAAGTCTGATGTAAGTGTTAAACTCATTTGCTGCCTAGGACTCATAGCTTGCCTAAGGTTATATACCCTAATCATAATCAAGAAGTATCCCTCCCCCTTGAAATAGAATGTAATACATCCCTCATATGTCATTTATGCACAGTGAAAGCATAAGATTGGAATGTTCTATCTGATAAGATAGGGGTGTCCATCTTACCTTGATCAGAGTCTGACATATGAGCTAAACTCATCTGCTGCCTAGGACTCATAGCTTGTGAAGTTGTCTCATGTCTTATCCATTTATCATTAAGAAGTATCCCCACCCTTAATATAAATGGATACATCACTCATATGTCATTTATGCACAGTGGAAGCATTAGATTGGAATGTCCTATCTGATGAAATAGGGGTGTCCATCATACCTTGACCAGAGTCTGACATATGAGCTAAACTCATCTGCTGCCTGGGACTCATAGCTTGTCTAATGTGTTATACATCATTTATCATTAAGAAGTATCCCCACCCATAATATAAATGGATACATCCCACATAGGTATATTATGCACAGCGAAGGCAATTGACTGGAATGTTTCATTAGTTTAAAAAGGGGTGTCTATCCTACCTTGATCCGAGTCTGACATATGAGTTAAACTCATCTGCTGCCTGGGACTCATAGCTCGCCTGCGATCACTGCCCATCCTATTCACCATAGGGCTAGCTGAGGCTGAGGTGGTATTAGGTGAGGCGACCATAGCTGAAGGGTGTAGAGGGCTACTAGCCCCTGTAGCTAGCGGTCCGTCAGGGACATCATTAGATTCACCTCTGTGAGAGAAAAACAAATATCAAAGTGTCAGCTTTAAAGGGGGTATTGCTTTTGCTTTTATTACTATTGCCTGTTGATTGTTGCGCAGTAGAATATATATACTTAAAGTTGGATAGTTTCTGCGCTCTATAAATGTATTATTATTATTATTATTATTATTATTAAAGGTAATGCAAAGTTTTGGGAAATTTTGAAAATTAGATGGATAGTAATTCTTTAAGATGTTGATATATTTGGATGCCCCTGCGGATGTATTATAAGCACTAGAAAATGTAGCTTTGAGAACTTGAATAATCCAAAAAAAATTCTGGTGCTCCAACTAAATTTCAAATAGCGCCTAAGGCCATTCCATGGTAGCTGCGACCATGAAAATGTCAGATTCTGCAATTCTGATACATAATTTCCAACCGAGAATAGCAAATCTGTCGATTGTAGTCAAGAAACATTGTTTTAAAGCTAAAGTAATATCAGTCTTAAGAGGGAGCTATACAACATAACAAGTTTATTTACAATTTCATCACTTTAGACTCAATCTCAAGCGACAACAATCATTGAATATTGTCAAATGAAACCAAATTCATGACCCCATACCCAAATTTTGTATTACCGGTATAATAGTTTATTCAAATTCCATTTACCCGGGTATGTTCACTTTTTTTATTCAATTCAAATTCTCTGATGTTCTTCCAAACTTGCATAATGACAGCAACAATGCTCACAAATTATTGTTCACCTCTTCCCAGAACTCAACCTTCTCTTTAACGATAAAAATGATGACAAAGTAAAAATCGGTGGGTACCTTGGTAAGACTCTGTGCTGGTAGTCATGGGTCGGTGTAGTGGTAGGAGGATAGTGGTGGTGGTGGTAGGATTGGTGCGTGCTAGTGGGGTAGAGGGACCCCATCCCTGTATGATGTGCCCCTATATGGGAGTTACCATGGACGGGGGAGGGGGACATTGTATGGTGGTTGGTGGACCTGTATACATGCAATCATTGAACCCCCATTTAAAATAAATATTTTTAACAAAATTATTATTATTTTTTTTTTTTTTTTCATTAAAAAAAAATATATTAAAAAAAATAAAAAATAAAAAATTGCCCAATAGAAGTTTGGTTTGAAGATTATTAAAGGAATGTTAACATTTGTATTTAAAAAAACAGTTTATTAATGACAATCCAAATAAAAATCATAAAAATTAAAGTGGATTATTGAAAAAGATTGTTAAAGTGTACAATCCAATATTTGTTATTCAAATGCAGTATGTTTGACCACCATTCAAAAAGGTACAAGTATTTAACATGCGATGAAGTGGACAAAATTGTGTATATTGACATTAAATTGGGTAAATTTTAGGTTTTATCAGATGGGATTTTAGAATGGTACAAGATTAGAAAATAATTTAAAGCAATTAGAAAATCAAATAGTGGAGGAGCGGAAGGGGCATTAGTGTGTGAGGGCATGGGGTGAGGTGAGATGAGAAAAGAAAAAAATAATCAAAACAAACACAAAGAAACACTCATTAGACACTCTGGTTAAAATTAATCAGTTTCAACTTAAAATATAAAATAATACATTGACTTAAAATTATAATAATAAACTTCTTTGCTATAAAATAGTTTTATCAGAAAGTAAACAAAATTAGGTTCATATTACATTGTGCATCTACATGTACATGTATGCACAGTCTAAATTTACATAATATCATGTAGTTTGAATATTCTCTTTTCTCCCCAAAATGGTTAAAAATTATATATTGAATATTACAAATAGTCCCCTATTGATCTAACTATAAAAAAAAAGAATTAAAATGGGGGAAAATTATATCTAATGTCCATGATGGGTCAAAAATATGTTACCATCTTTACAATTTTTAATTTGAAAGGAAGTGTTTAGCTTTAAGTACAAGACTACTTCAAGCCATTAATTAATTAGATTAATCAATCAAATTGGTTTTAGCATTAAGAATATCAAATTAAACGAAACAGGTTAATCCAGAATACTGGTGCATATTGCTATCAAAATTCAAACATTAAATGTGCTTCAAAATTATAAGAACGTGCTACAAACGATCAAACGTGTGATGTGACTTGGCAACTAAATAAAACGTGAAGGACAAATTATGAAGATAAGATCATTCAGGTGGCATGCAGGCAACACAGTGGGCTACTTCTTTACAGAGATTAGGTGATATTGTATTTGTTTACCTTTTTTTCCTAGTAAAAATCTTATTTGATGAAATTAATATTCCTATTGTAATCAAATAAACATCGACATCTTAAATATTCCTTTAACCCAGTTCTAAACTAAGTATTTTAAAAAACAATAATTCATCCTGCTAAGGTTCGCATTAGGACTGGCTAGGTTAAGTGATCCCATGCAGTCCCATTTGTCCTAACATTAAAGGGGTCCGGTAACTTTGTCTTAGATCCTTTAAAAAAATCCTTGATTCAGCTCATGCTGCAATGATAATCATAGACCTTTAGGTCAGTCAGGAACCCCATGACTTTTACAAGCCGATCGCCTGTCTTATTATCAAGATACTTATGATTGAAAATCAAAATCAAATTTTGTATTTGTGAAACGATTTTCATAACACTACAGTCTATTAGGGAAAACGAAAATGGTAAAACCGGTCACTCAAAGGTTTTTACTTTTTTGAGGCACTTCTTGATCATTTTTGTTAAATAGCCTTTTTCATTTGCATATGCAACCCCCTCGATTGTCCACTATCTATTATGTATAACTTAATATTTGGCTGTAATTCCTTCTATTTCTATTTTTCTTAAGCGCTTAGAGACATATTTTGTGATAAGCGCTATACAAATGTTGTTAATTATTATTATTATTATTATTTTGAAGCGCAATTTTTTGAGGGCTTCAATATAACACCATATCACAGACACTGTTTACATGTGGGGCCGTGTATCTCAGATTTAACATTGTGAAACGATTCGTTTAACAACGAGACACGGAGCACTCAATCATACCCTTGCTTATGCGTTGGTGTCATATCTTTGTATCTCCTCAACGAGCCACTGCCTGCTCCGGCCGCTTCTTTCCTCGCGTCGTGAATGGCTGCCGCTGCATTGGCTGCCATGGCGGTGAACGAGGGCTGGCGTTGGCTCTTCCTCTGAGGGGTGGAGTTAGGTGTACCGGGCGTCGATGGTGATGCACCCATGGGCGAGGCCTGGGATGCTTGCTTGACACTGCTGGGTTTGTAATGTGCTGCTAAGGCTAGGATCAACCTCATGATGGACTTGAGGTTACCATCAACAATATCTGTTGGAAGACAGAAATCAACTTCATCAACATCATCATCAGTATCCTTATTATCATCACCATCATCATCATCATCAACATCATCATCATCATCACCATCATCATCATCATCATCATCATCATCATCATCATCATCATCATCATCATCCCCATCACCATCATCATCATCACCATCATCACCATCATCATCATCACCATCATCACCATCATCAACAACAACATCATCATCATCATCATCATCAAAAACATCACCATCATCATCATCACCAATCGACAATCATCATCATCTTCATCAACATCATCATCATTGTTTAACGTATATTTTCTCCCTGCAGTGGGGTTGGGCATTAATATCTTTAATGTCCATTCTTCAAGCCTTAAGCATCCATCTGGGCAAAACATCTTTAAACCTGCCCAACACCCCTAATAAGATGGAGGGCACTCTTACATATAATAATAAAGGGGGGGGGGGGGGTGGTTTCATATTGCTTTGTTCAAGAGGTTGCAATGGACTCAACTTTTTCAAAAATTGTGTATTTAAGTATTTAAGTCCCTATTGTATAGTGTTCGAAATAACATTCCTAACCACTTTCACTGGCTAGTAATAAAGGTACGAGTGGAAGAAGTTTTAACTCTTTGAACTGTGTACAGGGTTAAACTGCAATACATCTGATCTAGACTAACCTTTAGCTGATGTGTGATGCATTCTAATTCGCTTGGAAGCCATGAATTGTAAGACGCGCTCTACATTCTCTCTCATTACAGTCGCTGAGGTCGCGTCATAGTCTACTCGAGAAAGGGCTTCTCCAGCTGAAGAAAACAAAATTTTCAAATTTTTAAAATGGCATATCATAAATACTGTAAACAAATATACATGGGAGAAGAGAGGAGAGGTACCGTAAATCTCTGTGTATAAGGCGCACCCCTATTTTTGAGATTTAAAAAAAAAAAAAAAAAAAAAATCCTTTTGGGTTTGCTTTTTTGCTGACACCAACTCAATCGTCACTTATTTCAGCATGCGGTCCCATTCGGAAACCAAAGCCATGATGCAGGGAATTGGGAAGGACTTTTTATTTATTACGACTTTACAGTCAAAAAGTCAAAGTAAAAAAAGAATAGTAACAATGTTGTTTTTAAAACTAAATATGACAGAAAATTTTTCCTCCCGAGTCCAAATCGAAATTTAGACAGGCTACTTTCTGAGTGGTGATTCGATATCCCCCGTGTGAGTGAGCTGCATGATACAGGTGAGTGAGCTGGAGACACGGGAGAGCTTCGGCCGGCAAAGTGTTTTGTGAAAAACTCTCTTCCCTTCAAATTAGGAACGTAGTTTTACTTCAAATAGTAGATCCTATTCTTTATTTGCATTATGTAGTGAGATTTTTTATGAGATTTTTTGGAAACCACTAAAAAGTAGCATTTTGAGAACTCAAAATATGCTGTACCTGTGTATTAGGCGCACCCCCGACTTTCGATTTTTCCACGACGGAAAAAAAGTGCACCTTATACACAGAGATTTACGGTATTGAGCTTTGAAAGAAGATGGAATTTTCTATTTTTTCTACTGCTGTCATAAAAGAGCAACATAGTCAAATTACATGTAATATATTTCGCTTTGAAACCAGGAAAGTCAGAGATGCTTGTATAGACTGATTGACTCGAACATTATACACTGCATTTGTAACTTCCATAACTGAGCCACATACATGGAGCTAAATGTATTATTAATTAACCTCGTTACTTACAGACTATTTCAACGAGATGAACGAGGGCGACGCCATCCTGCATGTCCCGCCGGAGATCCTCCACCATCCGACATCCTGCTCTCTTCTTGAGCTGAGAGTTCACCCACGCCACGTACGCTTGCAGTTGTTGCTGCAGAGACAAAAAGAGAAAAAAGAAAACATGGTCAAACGATGTAACACTTTATACAGATAAACTATTTCTTCCCTTTTTTAAATAATAAAATACAGTGATTTTTGGTGTTCACAAAGGCTATGCAAGCTACATGAAACAGTTGTTGAACTTGATTTGTATTTAATATGCACAGCACAGTCGAGTTAATTCCTTAAAAAGTCGACTTTTGTAGAATAACAAAAGAAGGATGTACAATGTACACTGTAGCTACATTGCACACATGCACTTTCCATATTAAATTAACAAAATATGGCATACATGTAAAGATGTACACATGAATCTCATATACTATTGAAGTGTTCAGCAACATGATTCATTTATTAATCAAAACAGGTTTGTTTTCTGCTATTAAACCCCAAAAATAAAAAAATTATACACATGAATGTATCATAATATGTACATGTATATGTAAGCATTTCCTATTGGTTACATAATAAAGTGTCATAAAAAATTGCAATACACACAATATGGATCCAATATTTCTACCTGATCATACATGTGTACACGTATATTAAAAATGTTAATATGGCCTATTAATGACTATCACTGTGGCAATAGTAATACTGCTATCTAGATGATCAAGGTCAGTCGCCCATAGAGAAATTTTTAATTGTCTCACGAGTCACGGATGAGATGGGACAAATATAACACAAGGTTCATTTACGTTGCTACATATATGTACAGTACCTATTTTATTTCAAAGATGAATATAAAAAGTGAAAATATCATGTTGTACAGCACTGCTAATGTTATAGATGTATAGTTGGCAATTTCTTTAGATTACCTGGTAACGAAAAGTTCAGTATGTTTTGGGATCATCCCTATTCAGAATTCATTATTCTTCCCTTGTACATGGTGTTGTGTTGTCAAGATTAATTCTCTGTGTAGTTGTGATATTATTAGAGTTTTAAAAGTACAATTGGTAAAATACATGTAGATAACATACATGTAGTGAAAGAGCATAAATATTGCCAAACATTGTACATACAAATCATGTACAATCATAGCTCTGAAACATACACACGTTTTACCCTATAAACATATTCTGTGTTTTCAATGCTAGCTTTCAACATGTTTATATTGCCTCAAATACTCCTGTAGTTTTATCTTATTTTATATTTTGTTCCAAGACTACCATGAGGAATATACCATAGATTCATTTTGAAAAATAACATTAACACACATATAAATTGAACAGAATATAATTAAATTACAATCTCATCATTTTTTGTGCATGTATCATGACTCTCTTGCAATATATTTTTGCATCAAAACATGCTGATAACATATACAATAGGCTTGCGGGTGCACCATGTGAGAGAGAGAGAGAGAGAGAGAGAGAGAGGATTGAGGAGTCCTGAAAAGGACTCTTGGTAATCTTTCTTGAGGGTGTGTAGTCCTGAAAAGGACTGTTTGTGTTGTCTACAAGCAGTATGCTGATAACCTTTCAAAATGTATGAAACTCCATTTCAAGCAAAGTCATATTATCTTGAAAGCAGCCTAATTTACAGATAGGGGTAAGAAGTGCACTCAAATCTAAGTTATTGAAGAATTCAGCCTCTGGCTAGACACGCTCTAAAGTGGTCACATGACTTGCTATTACGATTCTGACGTCAAATCTCCGCTCACTATGGAATAAAACAACCCCTAAATGAGGGAGAATAATGCACACCCATTCATATACAGTCCATATCGCTGCAGTAATACTAACTCATATGAGAACTGGGAGCTCAAATGGACCTTTTGAGAATATGATCTCACAAACCAGCATGAAATATCACAACCAAATATGCACTGTATTAGAGTTGTTTGTGCTAAATGTACGTGTTAGAATCTTAGTTTGATATAAAAAGGCAGTTTGTAATTATGTTTCATGTTTAAAACCAAAATACACACCTCCCTATTAAACAAAATTGATTTACTTTGATTTTAAGAAAAGGCATTCCTTGTAACCACAAAAATTGTAATAATAAAATAAAAAAATGAAATCAATAAAAATAATTGTTTAAGTCAACAATTAATATATATATTTTTTTTTTTATTGTTGACAAAATATTACTTTTTCTTTAGAAGTCATAGAACTGCTATGTTTGACACCTTATACATTTTCTTTACTTCCCTTTTTGTAACATTGAAATCCCCTTCCCTCCCTCCCTCCCTCCCTCCCTCCCTCCCCCTCTCACTCTCTCTCTCTCCCTCTCTCTCTCTCTCTCTCTCTCGCTCTTTTTTTCTCCCTCACTCCCTTACCTCTCAGTATATTCCATTCCTAATACATAAAAGAAAGCATAATTTACCCTTGACGTGAGCCAAGAATTCAGTTTGATAAGTTTCCAAATATCCAAGGCAGGCATTTCTCAAGGTATTTCCTTTCAAAATATGACGGTTCCGATAAGAAACATCCACGCAAACCGCATCTCACACACACAAGTCGACCTTTTACTTCTGTGAGCTCATTAGTTTTCCTGTTACGATCCGATAACCACCTGCGTAATGGTCATTCTTACGCAACAGTAGCAGCTAGCATACAGTACATACAATGTACATGTAGGCCAATAGCATTCCTGTAGCATCTAAACTATCCTTCAGAGACAATATCACATTAAAAAAATAGAATATAGTCTGAGTAGAAATACCAGTGAGCACATGAACGTGACATTATCTGGTTGTCGACACCATAAATCTGGTAGCATCCAATAAATCATACACTGTTATGATTTAACCCATATGTCGTGGTGTCAAATCTTCTGGCCTCCAAAACATTCTTTTCCTCGTTTCGTTTCGTTTCGTTTCTATTCTCCCTGAAAGCAAGAGAATCCCCATGAAACATTCATTCATGCAGGCTAATGTCTATACCAGTTAACAGTCACATGCAGTGTATGTCATGAATGTTAATAGAGATCTTAATCCAAAACAAACATTATTTCAAACTTGAATAAAGAGCTGTATCATCCACCAGGTGAGCAATCAAACGTGTTCACTAACTGTGTTCACTACAGCTATTTATATCGACAGTGAAGCGAAGACCACCAGCAGTTTTAAGATAAGTACAACAGGAAAATGACTTTGTAGCAATCAGTTCTAACCTGACTCACACGGATATACAATGTCAAGAAAAAAAAAGAAAAACGTTATCCCTGATGTACATGTATACCACCAGCACAGTCGTACAAAACACCTTTATTGTCCCCTTCTTACTTTTGTGCTGCCTTAGTCTAATAAAACAAACTGAACCTTAAATTCTCAACAAACAGGTGCTTTTCAAGCTTCCAAACCATCAAAATAATGCCTGAAACATTTCCATGAGAAAGATACACCAAGACATTGCAAGGCATAAATTCAACAGTTCTTTTGTAGCAGGATGACATATTACCAGTACAGAGACATACAGTGTAAGAAGAAAGGATTTGCGGAAAAAGCTTTGAATGATTTAAAAAGTAGACTACGCTTTTTGTTGGTTACAGGTGCTGAAAAGCACTTTGTTAAGATCGGCAGGGTGAGGAGAGAATCAAGGAAGGATTGAATAGGTTTTATGACCCACCAAAGAGCATTCGATACCCCCCTGGTAGTCCTCTGAAAGGATCTAATAATATCAAGTTTTTCAGGCTCATTGACCTGTTAAATAAACCAAAACATGACCTGTTAAATAAACCAAAACATATTTCCTCCATTCAGACAGTGAAGGCGGTAGAATCTAATAGTGAGGCGCACCTGTCCTCTGGCAAGACATACAGTTGTATAATCTACATTTGCCACTCTCCACCCAGGTGAATAATGGTTATCTGGTAGGAAGGAATTCCAGATATCCTGTGTACATCAAAATCAATAGCCTATATGATAAATTCAATTTGATTCAATTCAATTTCGGTTTATTAAGGCCATTTAAAAATATATACATGTTTAGCGTCCCAGCCCGCTTCCTTTTTGGGGGCTGCCTCCTATTTCTTTATTTTTTTTTTTAAGAATTTTTTTTTGAAAAACACTGCTAAAGTGGATCTATTTCTGATTTTTTTTTTTTTTTTTTAAAGAAGAAAAAAGGGCCTCCTACTTCCTATTTTTCAAAAAGGCAGGATGCTAAACATGTTTTTTGCCTAATATCAACATATACAATGTACAATGCAGTAGTCCAGGGACCAAGGCCAGGGTAATAGAAGGCGAGTTTAATTTCCTAGCAAAAACCATTTTCTCACATTTCCAAGTTTTGTTGCTAGGCAACTACCCATAATGACATCGAAAATATAATTCTTATAATATGAGGTTGTATGGCTTAGAGGAGAAGGGATCTTGAAATAGGTCCTGGGTTCAAAACCAAGTCAGTACTAAGGGCGTGTTTATGCTTCACTTTTGAAGGCAGAATGAGCGATTTGTAACGCTCATCGTAATCGCAGTTCCGCGGTGTACTGTTTATGCTCACTTCTCAGGCTCCTCCAGGCAATTCTCCCTGTGTGGCCTTAATTGGTCTTCCAGCTGGATTTGCAAACCTTCACTGTGCATGCTACATAGACCCACTAGAGGTCAGTGCGTTGACCCCATTTAAACGCATTTACAAATTGTAAACGCATCTTTTTGTGAGTTTGCGATCAGCGATCATGATCGCCGTTTTTCGGTGATTCTACAAAAGTGAGCATGGACGCAACCGTGTTTTAAACTAAACGCGTAACAGATGCCTGATTCTGGCCAGAAAAAGTGAAGCATAAACACGCACTAAGTCAGTACTATATTGGGTAGGCTCTAATTTCTAGCTTGTGATGAATTCGGATAAAACCCATGAAAATGTGCATTACTTTATCAAAATTTCCAGACTATGGTGAAAATGACATATACTGCGAGACTGGGGCAGCTTCGACACCTGCAATTTGTATTTACCCCAAAATAAAATTTAAATGAAACTGAAAGTTTCAAATCAAAACAACTTCTGGTAAAGTCCCAAACAAGCAGTTACACGTCATTAGTTCCGAAGA